CTTTTAACGATTTTCAAACGTGTTTTTCGTGGTGAAATATGTGTTTGCTGAAAAAGTGCAAGAGGAAAAGAAGTTTGAAATGACTCGAATAATAAAAAATAGGCTTCCATTAAAAGAAAAAAAGATTTTTCAAGCGCTTATAATCGCCGATTTCTAAAGCTTTTCTCGATTTCCAAACGTGATTTTCAGGGTGAAATAGTCGTTTCCCCCTAAAGTGCCAAAGGAAAATAGCATAATTTTGGTAGATAAGGTAAAAAATGCGATAAAACATAAGTAGTGCAAGTTCAGTATTGCCTCCTGGATTTCACCAATCACGTATTCAGACCCTAATTCCAAAATTTAGTTAACCTTGCGCTGAATTTTGAGATAAATATTGCAAACCCACAACGGACCTTTCCAGTTCTTGCTTATCTTTACCGCATATCTCTCTTATCTCCAAGACTACAGACTGCGCAATGAAGGAGGGTCTCGTGCCTATGCCTAATCTGACGAAGAATGAGCCAGAGCAATCGTACATTTGTTTTTTTAATTGTGGTGTAAAACTTTTTAATTTATGTTTAGATGTTATTTAATTTCTTGTTATGTGAGTTTGAATTTAGTATGGTAGCCATTTCAGAAGAAAGTATTAAAGTAATTTGAGATGTTAAGATTATGAAGAAATGTCATTTCTTTAACAGAAATACTAAGATAACTTCTCAAAATGACTTCTAAATTGTTATTTATTTTGCAAATGCAAACAAGCATCTGTTTAGTAAATATAATTAAATTATTTCGTTTATTACGATTGTGTTAGTGTATATTACTATCGATATATCGAACTATTGACAAGAATGCACATTTAGCTACCCCATTCAGTTTTTCATATTTAAAAATCATATCTTACAAACAGAACTTTCCAAATTAAACATCAAAATTATTTAACTGACCTTTACCCTATAGAATCAGGAATCCCCAAAGGAAGCGTACTTGAACCATACTTGTATATTCCCTTTACATCGGACCTACCAGAAATTGTAAATACTATCGTTGCCACATTTGCGGATGATATGACCATTTTATCTGTCCACGACAAACCGGTTCAAACTACAGCAAATTTACAGTTAAACTTGGATGAAATTTCACATTGGTTTAAAACATGGAGGTTCAAAATTAGTGAAAATAAATCAGAAAACATTACTTTTACCCTAAATCTGGCTACATGTCCTCCAGTATCCATGAACAATATTTACCACCCTAAAGTAACAGAAATAAAATACTTGGGCATGCACTTAGATGCAAAGCTTAATTGGAAGGCACATATCTGGACTAAAAGACAATATCTAAATTTTAAAATAACTAAGCTTAATTGTCTTCTTGGATCTAAATCAAAACTTAGTACACAAAATAATGTTACTTTGCAGAAAAGTTATAAAACCAATTTGGACTTATGGGATCCAACTTTGGGGATCATCAAGTACATCAAACATTGAAATTTTTCAACGATACCAATCAAAATTGCTACGTAAAATTGTCAACGCACCTTGGTTTGTTACTAACAGAACACTTCATAATAATCTTAGAATTTGAAAAGTCAAAGAAGAAATTACAAAATCTAGTGAAAAAAGATAATCAAATTGGAAAATCATTCAAAATCGTCTTATACAAAACAACTTTTGCAAAACTTATGACAGCTAGCCTGACGACGCTACTGGAACGAATTACACGCGGTTGGTACCAAATGAAAGATATTTTCCTGTAGATGTGATGAATCCCTTTATAAATTAAAATAGGCTCAAAAATAAACACAAGAAACGAATTTAAAATTTTAAAAATAACTTGGGCCGTATGTGTTGCCATGTAGGTAACGAAATAACAACTAAATGTAAACAGAAAATAAAACCAAATAGAAGAAATTCCATTTACATGTCTTATTTATAGCATAGGGTAAATATAGATAAGTTGGAAAAATACATACTTTTGGTCAAGTTTCCGACCACAAGGCGAGCTCTCATCTTGCACTAAATTTATTGGACAATCACAACACCATTTACGACATTTAAACCTCCCATTCAGATTCGGCTGTGTTATCAAAATTATCTTTGTCAGCTAGTGTTGAGAGTGGTAAATCACTATACTTTTAACGTTGTATTATTGTTAATGTATTTGCTTATTTTTCTACTTTTGAAACAGACTGTAAATTAAATAAAGTTGAAACCCGATTAAGCTACAACCCATTTAATAGTATATTTCGTACCTAGGGCCAAAAATAAGGTTTTGCCGGCTCGAGATAGTTCGACTTCGTCTCGATCGAGAGCTGCAAAACCATTTCGGTCCGTGGTACGAACGCTATTTTGCACCACACTATACCCTATTGCCACTATTCACCTCTATAATAATGCACACTGATGGTTAGCACAACTACAACTTTAAGGTTATGTGAAGAAATAATTCGAGGCATCAGCAAAAATAAAAATAAATTGTTGCTAGGCAACGGTGACAATAAAATAATTCTATGGATACTGATTGTGTATTTAATATGCATTCATGTTTTAAGTAAGTAAGCGGGCAGCTAATTTTGCGGCCCTAGGGACCAGCGACCACAGAATTAAAATTAAAATTTTAATTCTGTGGTCGCTGCTAGGGACCTGCTCGGTCCCCGAATAACGATGACAGCTAAAAACCTAATAATTCTATAGAATAACAAGCTGTACCCGCTGGCTTTGCCCCGTTAAACTAATTAATTTTCAAGATTAGCTCGTTCGCATGGCTCAATCAAGTCCTGGTTGAAGTTCGTTCGCTACGCTCTCTCACCTTTAGGTTGGAGCTCGTTCGCTGAGCTCACTTGCCTTGGGGTTAACTCGCCTCCAGGTTGAAGTTCGTTCGAAACGCTCACTCAGCTTTTGGTTGCAAATTAGCTGTTGTCATAAATTGTTAAATTGACACAGCTGTTATGATTCATTAATTCCTTTTAAATATGAAAAATCATAAGGTTAAGATGGGAAACTCCAGAGCCACTGGGGCGGAGCCCGAATGCCCGATCATAATAAAAACTACTTAGTTTTCCTATTTAATGCCCAAAGAATCGGTGTATCGAATTTCAGCCTCCTAGGTAAATGGGAAGTGGGAGAATTAGTGATGATGCGTGAGTGAGAGTGAGTGTGTCAGTGAGGGCTTTGCCTTTTATAAGTATACATAGCACATTCAACCAGCTGTTAGTTAAAACAAATTATATTGGACTAAAACAAATCGATGATTACAAAGAATACTTTAAAAAATAATTTGAACATCCTACTACTGTATTTTACTATGCACATTTAATTAAACTGCCATCCTCGTACCGAAGAATTAAATGTATCAATGGTCAGCATTACACATACATAGTATAAATAAGTCAACCATAAGTATGTATTTGAATTTTCTTCCAAATGCTGAATTTGTGTCACAAATACTGAATGTTACAGCTGTTATGTTAAGCAAATTATAATGTACTAAAAGCTAGCTAGAAGCATTGACTTATTGGAGAAGGTTAGCATCGGCTGCTAGACTTTTTAAAAACTAAAACTTAATTTATAAAAAACTGGGACATTAATTTTAAATTATGGCTTTGAAATTATCTAGTTCTCAAAATTGTCTTTCTTTCAACACAAAACTAATGAAAATCCATCGACTGGTTGATTCAGAATCGTGAAAAAACCCCATTTACGTTATAATAGTTTGGACAGGTTTCAACCCTTCCGTGGCGTAATACATTACACAGTTTATATGTAGACTACATTATAACTCATAAAATAGTTCTACAATTAAATGGATCTCCTTTTACATTACAAACGTATATAATAACCAGAAATGTTCAGATCGTCCTTGCGTGTATTTTATGCCACAAATTTTGACGAAAGGCTTTTCATTACATAAACTATACCTATTTACAGTGTTGACCAAACAGTTGGCAAGAAGCATTAATAAATAAGCTATGTACCAAATATGATAATTTTAGCTCTATTCTAATTATGACAAAACACGAAGTAACTAAAAGCGAGTTTTGTTGGTGTAGTAAGCGTTGCAGGAGGTCTACTTTACACTGAATCGACGTTCACTTTTATTGCTTTTGATCTTCCGACACTTTTGACTCAGCGAAACTGAACTTGTATTTTACCGTATTTCGTTATATTAATCCTGCTGTTGCATTAGGTCAAATTCCCAATAAGTCAATTGCTTTAACATAGACTAAACTTTTAGCCCGGACTGTACTATTTGACTTTCTGGGATTTTTGATCTACAGACACTGCAAACATTGTAGTTTTTGACCTAGCGGCACAGGTATAAATTATTTGATCTTCCGGGACTGTTGACTTTCAGCAACATTCCCTGACATAGCCTAGGCCTCATATGTCAGGATAGAAGTTAAGATAGGTCTATCTTAATGTCTAAGGGTTGGTGCCTTGAGTTTTTTCCCCATTGAATATTTAAGATGTTTTAGGCCTAGGTATGAGGATATCTTTAAGCGTTCCCTGGTTTATGATTTTTGATAAAGGGCAGCTGAAGTGTATACATAATGGAAGCTAGGCCTAACAGTTTAAGAGATAGGGCCTAAAATGACTTAAAATAAAAATCACTTGTCAAATTACAGAATGCATCATGAACAAAACGGAAAATAAAATGTCAATTTTGCTAACAATTTAAAAAGTTTGGTCAGAACAGCGTGATGACCACCACAAAATTCACATAACCAAGGTTTTAAATGCGAATGTCGCGGGTTTTCATAGTGTAATGACTACAGTGCGGTGTCTAATGGAGGCCGCCATATTGGTCAAGCAATAACCGCGAAATCAGAGGGGTCTTCATACAACATACAAGGCATTTATTTCTCGATTTGTATTAATTATTTATATGAATTGGACATAAAGGATGCTTTAAGACCTAAGTAATGCTAATTTACCTAGTAGTAATAAGCTATAATGTCACATTAAGAGATGAAAACACCGCCATTTTTTTAATTCTAGCCAAGCACTCAATTTGGTTACCTGTATTGTAGACATGAAGTTCATCGACAATTCCTTCATTTCCACCACCAAATACAACCATTAAGTCTTTAATAGATACTGCACGATGGCCATGGCGAGGTCTTGGTTGCGGTCCTGAAGGATTAACAACTCTTTTCCACTTTAGAATGGGAGCCGCCATGATTGTGTTTTAGTAAACATTGCTAACTGTAACTACAAAACAGAAGATTTTACCCACAATGCAGCCGTGATTCTATGGTGGGGGGAAAAGCAATAGCATCTGTTTGTGCCAACATTAAGTAATGAAATACAGATGTAATCAAATAGTTATACAAGATAAAATTCTATATCTACAATTGGGGGTTTATACTTTAGTTATTATAATCTATTAAGGCGGTTTTAGACGGGTAGAGTTCAATTCAATTCAATTTATTTATTTCCACGTTAACACCATTTTACATAAAGGTCAGTAAGTAAGCTATATCAAACTAAAATTATTAACAACAAATAAAGGCTCTGACTGAATAAATAACAAGAACAATAACAAAACAACAAAAACAAATCAACAATAAAGATAGAAACCATGATAAATTTTGTGAAACAATAGCAAAACAACACTTAAATACAGTTTGTTTGGAGTTGTTGGTAGTGTAGAGTTTAAGGATCAAATAGTGATTTCCAGTTGGACAAAATACTTTACATTTGGAAAGGTCAAAAAAGGGCATCATGTTGTATTACATTAGTCAATAAATGATACAAGTGAACATGTTGTGTCACGGTTACAGTATTCACATTGGGGGCCAACATTTTCTTGGTGAATTTACTTTTGTTTGTTGTTTTTTTTTTTCAAAACAAAAATATTAGAATAATCTCAAACATTTTGAGTTGTATGTCACAAAAAATAAATATAAATCAAATTTCATGAACATCTGACAATAATCAATTACATACTTGGCGTTATGAACATAATCAACCATGCTTTACAGATCACAATTTACGGTATTTCAGCGCAGTGCTGAGTTTAAAGATACTGTCGTGTAGAATATGCCCGAAACATAATACATTGTATAAAACTAAGTGGGTACGGTACTGTTGGACCACGCCAAAAAAGAACAAATAGATTAAATATACGAGTGGAAAAAACTGAAGCCCTGATCCTAGTATAATCAACCATCTCCACTAAAAAAAAAACAAACAAAAATATTAACCCTATCTGGATACTAAGAGTAACAAAAACAAAATATAGGCCTACTCTGAAGTGAAGACGTATATTGTAACAGATGGTGCATAGCAATTCTACTAAGGGATCCATGGCATTTTAAGGCATCGAGCGTTTATTTATTGGATATTTCAAATGATATTTATTTTTGTTTGACTTCATACCCATTGAGCTTTGTTTAATTTTTTTTTTAGATGTTTTCTAGGGTTGATGTTTACCACGTGTATGGTCAAAATTTGGCGTTTTCAATATATGTAATATGGAAAACGAATAGGGACCTCGGTAATTTCCGATTTTGAGTTATATATATATATTTGAATTGTTTATTAAATTTCTAATCGATTGGTGCAAGTCCCTCGCATGCATGTTTTTTTTGTCAAAGTTATAGGACTTTAAAATTTTGTTACGGAAAATGGTCATTTTGAGAAAAACTGGTTTGAAAATTTCAAACACGCATAAAACAATGTTTTTCGTATTTAAGAAACGATTTTGGTATCAAAAGAAAGCATATAATGTCCTCTTTGAAAGAAATGCAATTTGCCTTCTTAACTCACGGTAGTTTTCATTTAAATAATTTTTTTATTGAAGCATGTCGTAAAAATCGCATTTCAGAAAAGGGACCTCTTGTCGGCCCTATGTTATTTCGCCATGAGATAAGAAAAGGTGCCTCTTGTCGGGACCGCAAAATTTGTGAGATATTTTGTTTGTTCTTCGTGAACTGAACTTTGTTGTAGTTCTCTAAATTTCCACTAGAATGCAGGACAATTTAGTTTTTGGACTAAAATCTGTTTAAAAAGTGAATATTAGAATGGGACCTCTTGTCGTTATGGCGAAATAACATTGAGCGACAAGAGGTACCTTTTCTCAGACCGTGCAGAGGCTAACAAAATTATTTATTTCGACCTTTGCATCTTCAATTCGAGATTTTAACCAAAACTGTCATGTTCTACGTTAAACGAGGTATAATAATCGATAAAAACCCGAAACTCGATATTTTCGACCTTAATTACTTATATCGGCCGTACTGAAAATTTTGCATCTCCGACAAGAGGTCCATTTTCGCTTTCCACGTCACATATTTTGTTCTCCGTACACTGAACTTTGTTGTAGTTCTCTAAATTTCCTCTAGAATTCAGGACAATTATTTTTTTTTTACTAAGTGAATATTTAGAAATGGGACCTCTTAATTGTCGATATGGCGAAATAACACTGAGCGACAAGAGGCACCTTTTTCTCCTCAGACCGTGCAGAGGCGAACAAAATGATTTATTTCGACCTTTTACGTCTTCAATTCGATATTTTAACCGATACCGTCCTGTTCTATGATAAATGAGGTATAACAATCGATAAAAACACGAATTTCGATATTTTCTACCTTAATTACTTATATCGGCCGTAATGAAAATTTTATTTTGCATCGCCTCACCGACAAGAGAGGTCCCTTTTCGCTTCCCAAATCACATATACAGGGCCAATGCTCACGTGTTTAAGTGAAGACGTATATCGTAATAGATGGAGCGTAACAATTATTCTACCAAGGAATCCATTGCATTTTAAGGCATCGAGTGTTTATTTATTGGATATTACAAATGATAATGATTTTTGTTTGACTTCACACCCATTGAGCTTGTTTCGAAGTTTTGGAGATGCTTTCTAGGGTTGATGTTTACCAAGTATATGGTCAAAATTCGACGTTTTCAATATATACAGGGCCAATGCTTACATGTTTTTGTCCTAAGACGCTAGGCACAAGCCTGGGATTGCTTTTCACATTACTTCAGGCTAGGCCTTGGGGTTGCGGCATTACCACTTAGATAAAATCCATTGGTGTCTTGGCGGGATTTGAACCCGTGACCTCAGGGATTGAAGTCCCGCGCTTTAACCACTAAGTTAGACTAACTTGCCCCCAAATGCTTACGTTAAAATAGGTACCAATACTTTCTAGGTCTTTAAATTCATGATAATGTTGAGCTAATTCCGTGATATGTTATGGATTATTATTTAAAAATTTGATTTGTTGTTATAGATTATGCATACCGGTATAGTGGTTGAGCAAGGAATTCCCCGGCAGGTTGGCAAGACCAAATTAGCAATTTGTATTGGTGTTTTGGGATTTATGAGCATTGAAAGTTTTTCAATAACCCTAATAATAAGAGCTTGATTCATATAACTGTAAAAATGAGACACATACAGTTTTCCAGAACTCAGCTAGGTTTATTTAAACAGGAAAAGGAAAGTAGAGCGAATTCTTCACAATAAAGGCCGAAGTAGACTTTCCCTTCTTGTCTTAGGGTGGCTCACGAAAATGCGCTGCAGATTTATAACTAACTAGAAAGTACCTAATTATTTGAAACAATCATGCGAGTTATTATTCGCAGTGCCCAAATTACTTTGATAAGCTTTTTAATGTTTTGTGATCTTTATTTGCTGTATATAATTTGCTTGGCTACTTCAATTAATATTTTTATTGAAAATTTATACCCTTGTGTTTAAGTTAATTCAATAAAAGTGTTTGAAAGTTCTAAAATGAACTTCTAAATAATAGTACTTAAGTCAATATTCAACCACTTATGTAAAGATACAAATATTCCCCTTTTATGTATGGTAGTTTTTCATTCAAGACAAAGTTTTATTCGAGGAACCAAATGTTTCAAAATAAATTTCTACATTGCCCATGAATAGTTTTTCCGAACCAGAGTAAAATATTGAAGACAAAAGCAAGACGGTTCAGAGATTATTGACTTCCTGGTGAGAGAAACCATTGACAAGGACTTTCAATTTATCATTTAGTATTCCATTATGGTTACACTCTCCCCATGTTTTCATGAACTCTCTCAACAAGACCGCAGTTTAAATACGTGATAAAATTACCACACATCGTGTATTTTACGTTTTTCTAAATCTTCATACAAATTAGCATATTTTATAACACGCCAATCAGAAATGTTTTTGTTCGTGTCAAGAAATATATGATTTTACGCAAAAGTTAAAACGGTTTCTGAAAATTGTTGGGGGGGTGATCGCAGTAAATGGAACAGCTTCCCTGTTATCGTTTACCCAATGGCGGACTGTGTACTTTAGTTTGTTTATGTGCAGACGTAAATAACATTGGTGTCAATTGTGCCAAAGAGTTTTTGGTTCTATATGAATTTGTTTAAAATGAGTGATAATTCAAAACTTATTGCAATATATTAGAAACAGGACTTTAGGCGGGGAGTTACTCGCACCATATACTCATAAATACAATTATGTACGCCAAGGGAAAAGGGGCTACAGTACCGTCTGATGCACAAGCCAGAGAAAAGTAAAAGTTATTTTATTCAATAGTGATAAATTTATTTGTAGAATGCCATAAATATTTTGAATTTTTGTCCGGTTACATTTATTACATTTTAAAGTTGATCTTAGCAATTGTATTAATATAAATTATTGTTAACATAACCTAACTTTTAACTGTTCGTAAGGAAAAGTGAGGTTAACAACATTTCAAAGACCTAGTATGTAACATCTACCGTGTCTGTACATTGCAGATTCTATTCGTGGATGAAAATATAATTTGAAGTTAATCTAATTCAACTTTGGTAATACTTATGTTTAAGTCTCAGTAGTAGGTTTCATTGATATTATAAATGGTCAACATTTCAGAGCTATCCTATTCAACCCTTTTATCTTATTCCTACTTGTTGGAATGTAGGTTACCATTGCTTAGCATTTCGTACCCATTTTTCAATAAGTTCTGTTTTTTTCAGTAGTACCGTATATAAGTTTTAATAGCATTGTGGGTACTCTGTTTCTAAGGTTTTACTTGTGAGATTTATTGGCCTAACCTGCATAGGCCTGTACTAAGAAAGCTTTCTTTGTGTATTATAACTTGCTCACTGAATAAGTTATACATTGGATTTGTATTGGCATTAGTGATCTGCGACTGCGAGACGTTAGTAGGGTCATTCCATATCAAATCAACAAGGCTCTCAACCTGACCATCTTGGATTTTGATGAAATTTTGCATACTTGTAGTATTTTGAGTCCTGAATCCAAATATGCTTTTTAAAAAAATCTATCTTTTATAGTTTTTATGATATAAATATTTGAAAATGGTAAAAATTGGTGTTTTTTACCGTGCGCGCAAATCTAAAATGTTGTCTAGGATGAGTTCTATTGGTCCTATCAAGTTGTACAATGGCTCATTTTAAAGAGGATTCAAATGCCTTTAATCTGATACCAAACTCAACCTACTTTGGTAAAAATTAATTTTTTTTGAAAATTTCAAAATATGTTTTTGAAAAAAAATTTAAGATAGTGTTTTTTGAAAAATTTGAAAATTAGATATGTTAAAGAATGTAATCTAGTAAGTACATTATAAAAATTTCAAAATGGGATGATGATGGGATCAGCAGTTATGATAAAAATACTTGACTATGGTTCACTGTTTCCAAGCGTTTTGGCGCATACAGCGTGTAAGTACTAACCTAAATGTATCATTAAATAAGAGTCTATTAATTATATGATTAAAATTAAAAATATCTGCCTATATTTGAACTGTGTATGTCATATTTTGCTATAATATAAACTAAATCTAGCAAATAAACAACATTATTCAAGTTAACAGAGTTTCCGTCAACCTTTGAACATGGGGGCTACTTTGAACAAACTTTCCACTTTTCATATTTGATTTTTTTTCATATTAATTTTATCTTTAAATGATAATGTTTATTATAATTTTCTATTCCCAGATAAATACTCTACTTAAAAAAAATATATAATAGTGCATACTATGGTTCTACAAAAAATTAAAAATACTTATTTATCACTGAAATTTTTTAGTAAAAAAAAGTCGTCCAAAGTTCCATGTCTACAGCAAACCCAGTAAGTTTATGATTTATGACTTAAAACCATAATTGAATAATAACTTAAAAAAAGAAAGAAAAAATTACCCAATTTGCTGACCCTTACTTATGGCGTCGCGACCCTTAGTTCTGGAGCAAAATTTCCCGGACATGAAAAAAAAAATACTTGGGTTTTAAGTGTTATTTTTTTAAATGATTTTTTTAATGAAAACAGATGTTTTGAGCTTTAGTTATTATTAGCAGCCATCATTTAATTCCTTTATTTGACTGCTATGATATTTAAAAAATACCCTTGCAAAGTTAAAAATTAACCGGACGGACATTTTGAAAATTCTCCGTAACTTTTTTTAATTTTTGACATATCAAAATAGAAGTTATACAGAAATGTGGTATGTGGTTTGTGGTATTTAAATCCACAAATCAGTTTTCACTAAAAAATTTTAATTGTTAAAGTAAGAATACATTATTTATACTTATGAGCAGACATTTCCCCAAAACTAAATAATTAGGCTATCATGGAATATTATCTATGTATCAATAATAAGGTTACTACAGGATTTAAATAGATTGATCACAGTAGCCTATATTGTGTGACAAAATTATCAATGCTTGTTTGTCTCTCTCTCTTGTCACAAGAGGAAAGACAGACAAACATGGACCTATGGGTTTTGGCTCAGGTTCCTCAGTATTTTCCAGTTGTACCTCGGCAGTAGCGACCCGGTCTTGAGAAGTTGTAATTTGTTTGACAGGTACACAGGTCTAACTTATGTTTGTCAGTCTTTCCTCTTGTCTCCAAGACCGAGTCGATACAGCCGAGATGGGTCGCTGCAACCTGATAGTGTAAACGTAAAGTGCTTCACAATGTGATTTTGCACAGATATAGTGGCTGACTAGTGTCTCCAGCCTAGTGAAAAGGCAGACTTAAAGATTGATTACAGTAAATCGTTGCTACACAACTAACTGGAAAATACTGAGGAACCTGAACCAAAACCCATTGGTCCATGTTTGTTCAAAGGTTGACGGAAACTCTGTTAACTTGAATAATGTTGTTTACTTGCTAGATTTAGTTTATATATAGCAAAATATGACATACATAATTAAAATATAGGCAGATATTTTTAATTTTAATCATATAATTAATAGACTCTTATTTAATGATACATTTAGGTTAGTACTTACACGCTGTAAGCGCCAAAATGCTTGGAAACGGTGAACCATAGTCAAGTATTTTTATCATAACAGCTGATCCCATCATCATCCCATTTTGAAATTTTTATAATGTACTTACTAGATTACATTCTTTAACATATCTAATTTTCAAATTTTTCAAAAAACACTATCTTAAATTTTTTTTCAAAAACATATTTTGAAATTTTCAAAAAAGATTAATTTTTACCAAAGTAGGTTGAGTTTGGTATCAGATTAAAGGCATTTGAATCCTCTTTAAAATGAGCCATTGTACAACTTGATAGGACCAATAGAACTCATCCTAGACAACATTTTAGATTTGCGCGCACGGAAAAAAACGCCAATTTTTACCATTTTCAAATATTTATATCATAAAAACTATAAAAGATAGATTTTTTTAAAAAGCATATTTAGATTCAGGACTCAAAATACTACAAGTATGCAAAATTTCATCAAAATCCAAGATGGTCAGGTTGAAAATAATTTTTTATTGGTTGATTTCATATGGAATGACCCAGACAATTGAAATGTTCCTCCTCGAGATGTTCCGCTTATCGATTGTTTCAATTGCTTAGCGAGAGGTTTGTACAATCAAGATGTTTCTCTCGATTGTTGCATTCGTTAAGCCTAAACCTCTGTTTGTATCTGTCTACATTTCATGAGAGTTGTTGAAACGAGGATGTTAGTTCTTTTTCTATATTCTTATAGAATAGTAGACTATTATGCACAACATATAGGTACTGCTGACAAATGAATTAGCACTTACGTCACTCCGTCATGGCAACAGAAATAGAAAACTATTTTAAAGTAATGGGTAATGGTAAATAATACAGTTAACACTTATGTCTCGTTATAAACATTTCGATTTAAATACAAACATTTTGTTTAAGTAAAATATATTGTCTTGTCAATAGTGTTAATTGGATGGTTTTCAGCCAGTTCTTTGGTACAAAATATCTCAATCTTCTGAGTTGACACAGAGCTCTGGAAAGTCTAGCACAAACATGGCTAATCTGGCCATTCCTGTTTACTTTATTGTCAAGATGTAAGTCTAGAAGTTTGACAGACTCCACATTATGTTCTAAGTTTCTTAGGCTAAAGATTATTGACTTAGTCTTTGTTTCAATAAGAAAAAAGTAAAATAATGAAGAAAAAAAAGAAATATTCATCAGCGGTGAAAGATAATGGTAGGCTATATTTGGACTCAGGAGGTAAAAACTATAATGTTAGGCATGAAAATTAAAAATTTATTCGGAGGCACCTACACTAAATAAATAAATAAATAAATACTAGAAAAAATTTTACTAGATCAAGTAGGTTTACAAAAATAGGCCAGGCTACGACAGGCGTTTGTCTTGTTGTTTCAGTTCTATGACAAGACGTTAAAAACTGTCTAGCACCCGTTCTTTGGTAATTAGGAAGCCGATGTCTGTGACTTTTGCTGATGTAAATATCCAGTTTTGCTATAACATTTTTTTTCGTCCGTGGTTAAAATAGATTCTCTGCCAATTATTTATTCAAAGACGATTTGCTGTTAGGTTCTTTAAATCATGAGAGTTGGTCTTGGAACGTTGTTATGGAACAGCCTTGGTGTTCCCAAGCCTGAAACCCCTGAAAGATAAATAACCCCGCCGCAGCAAACTTGCAGATTAAACAAATTTCCATTTACCGGCCTGGATTTCTACAAAAATATTCCCTTTAAATTGTCAGATTTATTTCCTATTTAAATAACATTAATTTTAATGAATACCTACTTAGGTTTGCTGCTACAGGAAGGTATTTAGGTGTTATTTTTTATTAAAATGTTGATAACTAAGCTTAGAATGAAATAAACAAACTTGCCAGATTTGATTAAAATATACCCATAAACAAGCAAACTAGCCTACAACAGTTTTTTATTCTCCATACATGGACATTTATTAATTTAAATTTTTTTTGAATTATCTCCGTTACCGTTAGGCATAGGCCTACAACAACGCTTTAATATACAAAATTATTTCTTTTTTAAGCTCAACAAAATGGTTTAATAAGAAATTGTGAAATTTTGTGTTTTTTAGCGTAAAAAATGGGAAAAACCTATTTTAAGCCCCATAAACCTCCGTTCTCATAGTCCGATCATGCTGGTTCGCCAACTCGGCTGAATAAACGTAGGTTTACGTTTGTACCAAATTTCATCAAAATCGGATCATATTTGCTCGAGTTATCACGCTAACGGACACATATAGGGCCTATATATACAACATTTATATATATATATGAATTGGAACGGAGGTTGTTTTTGGCCTCTAGGGAACTCAAAAGAAACAGTAAATTGGTCCCGGGTCTAGGTCTTACCATGAGACCTATGGTAATAGCTTATTCCCTATATAGGAAATTCGCTAAAATGTAGGCTTTTAAAAAACTTTCCACGAAATGTTTAAATAACTAATTGTTAACCATGCCATTGCCATAAAGTTAGGGTTTAAGATGAAAATACTTAACTTGTATGCAAAGTACCGCAATAGAATGAATTCTAATTCATCTTCTTAGCATAAACAACAAGAAATGGTCTCCAGAAGTGCTCCACGCTGTAGTGGTCTAACAATCTTTGCTCCATTTTAAACAAACAAACTACTACCACTTGACATAAGTTATACAAAAAAAGTACTGTAGTAGAAACAACCTTTTTTTATACCAAAATCATGGGCTAAACTATATAGCCGATCTTATTATTTGAAATAGCCTACAAAGCTGCTTTTGGTACATCTTCTTTAATTTACTTTTTATTTACCGGTACTTTCAATGTCTTCACCACAATCAGTAGATCGGGGAATCGCCATAGTTTATCCGTCTGACGGGGTTTTCACTAAGTGAACTGGTGATAAATGTGTACGAGTTTTCTTCAATGTATTCATTGATAGTGTAGTACCTATGGTCAGATAATAAGGTATTTTTTTTTAAGGTGTTGGACAAATGATTTTTAATTTTTAATTTTAATTTTTCAAAGAGGTTGGCGGCCTCTTTTAACCTTGCATTTGCCCGTCCATATAGACTAACTGCCCATGCGTGGATCGTATACAGCAAAGCAAGGTGTGAGCCGATACATTATGAAGGTCAACTGTACTGATAAAAGGTTTACGGCAGTGACCAGGATCTGAACCCACAACATCGCTGCCTTGGGCCCAAAGTCCGTGATGCTACCGATTGAGCCACCGACTCACTGATTTGTTAGCCAGATGAATTGTTTGCCTTTACGCTCTTGAAAAGGTTGTCCAGTATTGGCTGGAAGTATTGTAATTCTGGTATTCGCTGTTGGTATTTGTATTGAGTCTGCAATTTTGTCCGTGATAGGAGTGGTTAGGTCAAATTCTTTACTCAAAATTTTGCAGATACGGTAATGATTGGTGAGGGTTTTGTTATTAATATGTAGAGTTATATTATTATTGCCAGCAGTAGTTCAAGTGCGCTCTGTATTTATTTTTTACCACATTCTTTCTTTGGTTTTCAGCTTTCTGTATGATCATACTGCTTTGTACTTTAGGCAGGTGTCTTTAAATATTCTGTGTCAACCAGGTGTGTTTATATCTGTCATCTGCCGGGTGTCCAATAGCTTTTTACAGACATGCTACATTTTGCAAACAGGGTGATTACTAATGCAAAAAGAACGACATAAGCACCTACGCTTATGCACATTTTTGTATCAATAGTTAGTTATCGGTATGGGGGGGGGGGGGGAATTGATTTGTATATAATTAAAGTTTTGTATTTGAGAGTGATTAAATAAGTTAAATATTTAATTTTTTTCCTAATATTTCTTGATTTAATTAGTCGATATTGACTTACGGTTACCTGGAAACAGTAATATCAGTCTGGAAAACCTGGAAAAGTCAGGGAATTATATTTTGCAAATTTAGTTTACCAACCCTGTTATGCCTTCGATTGGCTCCAAAGATCCTACTCCCACGTATGAAAAAAATCCTTAAAACAGTTTTACTGTATGTTTTAGGGCTCAATCAATATGGGATGCTGTAAGTGTTTCATTTTCAGATTTCCTAATGGATTAAGACCACTGTCCTTGAACTATAAAGTTAGTTTCATCTGTAAATAGGAGTTTTGAGTATTTTTTTGTCCCAGAATGCCCATTGTTTCTTCATTTGTTCAGTCAGAAGCCATTTTTTCTGTGGACAAATTTCCCTTCTACCATTCTCCAAAAGTCTTTTATGAACAGTTGAATCATAAATCACTAGCTTACATCTGATGTTGCTAGATCTTGTTGGAGCTCTAGGCTTGTTTTTCTTGGGTTCAATTTGCTTTTACGATGCAAAACCTGCTGTTGTTGTTTTTCTCTTTTTTCTGCATTTTCCCAACCTTTTCATATACTGTACACTGATTCAGTTTAGGCTTCACAATCTTGCTTACGGCCCTCTGACACACTCTACACGCTCTTGCAATTTTTCTTTGTGACATTGAAGTGTGTTCACTCAACTGGACAATCTTTGCACCCTTCCTAGGCGTAATGTCCATGATGGAATCAAACCAAACTCACTAATTACAGAAAACACAGCTTTATATGGTAAAACAACACACAATACACTTAAGCAATAGGCAGAGAAAAGTAAGGTTATGTTTGCAATGCTTAGTCAGCTGTAAAATGTCTGGTCAATGTTGTAAACTGAAAAAAATAAAAGTTTCACAATGATTCCAATTAGAACAATACTGTATAGGCCATGCCTTCACTGTTTTTTTTATTAAAACAATATTATTTTTAATTTAGGACTACTTAGGGAGTTTATTATAAAATATACATCCAGCATTTTTTTAAGTATTTTCCCCCCCTATCTTTTCTTAAAAGCTACTCTACAGGCGGTGTTGTGATATCCCTTGATTTCTAGTACTCAGCCCAATAAATATGTAGGCTACCTAGTTTTTAATACAGCAAACTTCACTGTTTAATGTTGGGTTTCTTTTTTAGGTTGGCACTTTATGTATATGAATATTTACTTCACGTGGGTGCTCAGAAAGCTGCACAGACCTTCCTCTCAGAGGTAAGAAGTGTTCAATAGATTATAAGGTATAATAGGATATTTTCAAATTTTATCATAATTATCATTTTGACAACTCTATTCTTATACTTCTATCTCATAACCTAGTTTAAACACCATCAATTCTACTTTCACTCATAAAATAAGATGTTTAAGAATGTAAATTAGGGCTAATTATGATTTGATTTTTAGCAACATCCACACACTTAGCACATAAGAATAAGTTTATCCCTGCATTTCAAAGATTATTATCTGACACAATTTCTTTTTGAATAATAATGTGTTTTCGAAGCATCACCAATTCTAATAGGGTCTCTAAAACTACATTGGCTAACGTATATCACACATTTCCCTATTTAAATAGCACATTGTGACTGTAAATTACTTAACTAAAACTGCTTTTGATTTTTAAAAATATCTTTAAACTATACAATTAATAATAACATTTTATAAAAAATTTTGGAAGTTATTAACAGTCCTTATCATAATTTTTTTTCCTTACTAAGCTACTGAAATAGTTCATGTGTAGATCTGAAATTTACAGAGGTTTTCTTTATGCTATATCAATAGTCATATAACGGTGATATTAAACACTTTAATGTCTACTTTAATGCTGGATTTACTTTAAATAAATTCATAAAGAAGCTCTTTCCCTCGCAACATTGTTACATTACACTCTTTAACGACTTATCTACCTCTCTTGTTGTGTAACTGTGATACACTTAAGTGTTCATTTAAATGTTTTACTATCTAGCGTTTATTATTAAGAAAAACTCTGGATTATACAGTTGAACGGTGACCAGGGTATTTCAGTAGGCTATAAAAGGAATGTATAAAATATAGGCCCTATCTTAGTTGGCTCTGAATAAAAATTTTCATCTTTTCCACAAGCAGTACAGTGCCTAAGTTAAATAAAATATTAATTGATATTTTCACACAATTTTTATGAGTTTTACAGGTATGATGCTGCCAATAAATTTCTATAAGAGGCTCTTGTCTTATTTCTGTATAGTGTTATCTATGTCTATGAATATTTGCTTATAACTATGGATCTAAATGTATTTTTCGCTTAATCAAGTTAGAGGTTTAATCTTATTTTATGTTGTCCCTCACTTAATAATTGTTATAGTTGTGTAACTAAAATCTACTACTTTTCTTGCCAACCTGGTCCTTTTGAATGTAGCCTAATCTTTTAATAGTGGTTAGACTAGTATTATTCTCAAGACCGAATAAAATTGTTATTAAAGTTCATTTCTTGTTTTACTGAATCATAACTGTTTTTTTATTTTTTTATTAATTGAGAGAGAAAAATCCTTTAATGCCATCGTAAGAAAATAAGGATTTAAAAACTATCACCTCCTTGCTTTACAATACGTGAAATCAGTAACTGTAGTTAAATACCATCTTGTACGAGGTAGTGATGCTATATCCTTGAGAATCAATGCTCAAGAAGGGCAAGACAAAGGCTCTTCAGATTCACAATAGAAAAAAACCTGATTGTTGCCCATTACTACGCTTAGAAGGGCCCAGCATTAACATTGATAGTTCTGTAAAATATCTTGGCGTAACCATCAGTGATGATATGAGATGGCAGCAACATATCGACAATATATCTGTGAGACTCACGGCAGTTAGCTATCCTAGTTCGAAGGCTCCAGTCACTCCTGGAAAGAGGTACTAATGAAGATATATCACGGCTACTTTCACAGCATTATGAAATATGGGATCCTGCTATGGGGAAACAGCCCAGCTGCCCAACGAGTACTTCTCCTGCTACAATGAGTTATAAAATCTATTTTCTCAGAACCATTTCTCGCACACTGTAAGCCACTGTTTGGAGAGGCCAAGGTTCTTTCCATGACAGCACTTTTCGTCCTGGAGTCAGCACTGAGTGTAAAGAAAAATCAACTACTTTTCCTAAAAAATGTTGCGTTCCACAACTACAGTACAAGGCAATGTAAAAACGTCCACCTAACCCAAGTAAACTCCACTTCAGTAGCAAAAGTTTATGTGCTCCAAGATTTATAACAAGATCCCAAACAAAATCAAAAATATTGATGGCATAGAAAAGTTCAAGATTTTATTTAAGGAGTATCTATTGAAGAGGCCATACTACCCATTGACAGAGCACTTTCAGCATGAATGAAAATGGCCAGTATTGTTGACAAAAATAGTCACAATGGAAATCTAATCAATTTATCTTATATCTTGAGGTCAGTCTCATGAAGGAGGCCATCTACTTGGTACTGATTTAGATTTAGATATTATGATTGTGTGAATAAGACAATTACAGGTTAAATACAGGTTAAATATGTATATAGCTTGGACCTTGGAATTGATTTCAGAACTTCACAATCTGTGATTTTAATAATATTGGCATGCAGTAAATCAAGTCTTGAGGACCAAACTCCGAAAGACTCTTATTATCTGACCAATATGTCACATATCATCTAGTGCATGCTGTTCCTCTAATGTGTATTGTAAAACTGGCCGTATACGACAGGTCGTGGAACTAGGGCGCTATTGCCCTAATGGTTAGTGGCTTTTCTTTGCCAAACAGTTTTTACTCATAAGTTTGACTTTTTTTTATTTGATATGCGTTGAATGGGTTTGGAGATGGTTTGTAGTAGTTTACACAACGATAAGTATAGTCTTCATGACACAAGTAGAAAATTTAAGGTACGAGCCTTGGTCAGTACCTTTAAGACTTCTACGAGTGTCGTTCGTTAAGGCTAATTAAGCGGTAATGTGTTCAAAATGTAAAACTTTTGATTTTTTATTCGGTTAACTCTGACATGAAATGGACAGTTCTAACCATAAAAACTAGAGCTTATTAATTAAGATAGTGAATAATCAGAAGAAAGAGAAGGTGTAATTGGTGGTCAACCATATCAGCAAAATCTTTGGATAATATAGTATGTTAAGAGTACAGTCACTGTCGGACATAATAGTCTATGCAATCAGTTTTTGTCTCCTTCATAGGATTTGTAATGTTTTACTGGTACTGCTGGTTGTGGTACAATGTTATGGTTTGAGTCCTAGTGCCTACGGCTACATTTTATCAGTAAAGTTATCTATTGTACTGTACTGTCCCACCCCTTGATTTACTGGTGTACAGGCTTGAGGCTAGTGTGACCGGTCAAATTCATGATCAAAAAAGGCTGCTGAACTTCTGAAATAAAGATGATCGTGTTCTATATGGGGTGTATTAACAATTCCTAGTTGGTATGTGCCAAAACACTTGACAGGCCTCTATGGTTTTAGTGGTTTCTGTACGTGTGGTAGCTACCATTACTGACCCTCATCTTTTTCGACTCCTCTCCTTTTTTGTAGAGAAATCTCTCTTGTGCCCCTTTTATAGTCCAAGGTTCAAGGTTCCCCCTGTGGGTTCTAACAGTTATTCCGGTCTCCTGCTCGCTTTCTGAAATCATCAGGTTTTTTTAGGCCCGCTACTAGAAATTTTATTTTGTTCCCACAAGAAGTTAGGCAAAATAGGTCTACTTGAGCGAAGGCCATGTGCCCAGGGAAAGCTGTTAACTGCTGGAGCGTGTCTGGTATCCAGCAAGTACCGTTCAAGAAACTAGATCAACAGTCTGGTGACTTTCACTTTTAGCTTGGTTCATATGACACTTGGATGGCAAAAGTATTTAGGCAAAGGGTGGGAAACAGAGCAGTTGACTACAAATAGTACACCAAAGTATTCCCAATGGGCAGTATGGTTTGCCAACCCCTTTGTGAGGTCTTACTATTATCAGCTGCTCCTGACCATAGAACCGTGGACAAGATTTGGCATGACATGAGTTAAAACATTACATCACTAGTACCTAACCAAAATTACATTTTACATCTTCCACTTGTTGTAAAATAATAAGGCACACATATATTGCTTTACATTCAGTCATTTAGTCTGGTGTTGTTTAGATGATGTGTGCCCAATCAGTACATCCAAAGAATGGGAATGAAAAATATTGATCATGGTCCGATAACAATTTCAAGCTTTTTTTAACTCTGTTCAATTCTATTGATGTTCTGCGACAACGTACCCATCTTTCATCCGATCATTTTCATGCAGTCTGTTTATCTGATCATTTTTAAATCTGAGACCTTAACCTATACAGGCTTAATGGTCTTATTTACGGCATACTGTTTTCATAACGTGGATAAGCATAATTGTCTCTTGTGATATTATTATACCTACTAGTGCCAATTTTTCTGTGTGGATAGACTGCTGGAGTAAACAAATAATTAAATCACATTTTTAGTTGAACATACCAATTGATTTTTTTTATTGTACTTTTTTAAACTAAAAAACTGACTTAATCTAGTCTCTTAAACTCAAATTATTAATTTCAATACACCTGTTAGCGAATTTCCCATATAGGGAATAAGCTATTACCGTAGTACTCATGGTAAGACCTGGACGCGGGACCGGTTTTTTTTCGTTTTGAGGTCCCTAGAGGCCAAAAACACCATCCGTTCAAATTCATATATATATATATATTTATATATTTATATATTTATATATATATATATATGTGTCCGTTAGCACGATAACTCGAGCAAAAATGATCCGATTTTGATGAAATTTGGTACAAACGTGTAAACTTACGTTTATTCGAACGAGTTCGCAATCCAGCATGATCGGACCATGGGAACGGGGGTTTACGGGGGGTTTTATGGGGTAAAAATAGGTTTTTCCTATTTTTTACCCAAAAAACATAAAATTTAGCAATTTCTTTTCAAACCATTTTGTAGATCTTAAAAAAACAAATAATTTAGTATATTGAAGCGTTATTATGCGCCTAATGGTTACGGAGAAAATTCCAAAAAATTGTAAATTTAAAATTCCAATGTTATTCTTATGGAGAATAAGTAAACTGTTGTAGTTTGCTTGTTTATGAACATATTTTGATCAAATTTGAAAAATATTTTTATTTCTTACTAACTATTAACATTTTACAAAAAAAGAACAGTTTTACCCTCCCTGATGCAGCAAACCTAAGTACTTGTTAAACTAATTCTATTTAAATAGGGAATAAATGTTATATTTTTAAGTAGACATTTCAGTGTAAATCCAATCAGTCAAATGGAAATTCGCTTAGTCTGCAGGTTTGCTGCGGCGGGGGTATTTTTACCTATTATCACAAATTTCATAGCAATTTGGATGGAAAGTACACAATAAGTTGTGAAATAGGGTTACTTGTTGAATGTATTTGATAGAAGTAAACTTGGTCAAACGCTTAGTTGTTGGCTCTTACTATTAGATGGATTTTACTGGATTGATAACAATGCTCTTAAAAGTTGAGTACCTCTCATGTTTAAATATATTTTTGTACCTATCTCTTATCCTGCTCTTGATTTTTTTACAGATAAGATGGGAAAAGAACATAACCTTAGGAGAACCACCGGGGTTTCTACATTCTTGGTGGTGGTAAGTGATAGTAGACAATGATAATGAATGTTTTAGGTTAAAAGGAGTAAACACAAAATTGCAGGATAAATTATATGCATTTTCTCTATCAAAATTTTTACCGGAATGGTCTATATGGGTTATATATGTTACCGGCAAAGTATCTAATGTAGGCATTGTATAGAAATACTGAGGCATTCTATACCTGAAGCCTTTAGGCAGATAATTCAAAAATTGTTAGTGCTTGGTTATTTATCATTAAATTTGAGGAAATAACTTGTCATTTTATTTGGCTTTTAACCGTGCATTTTTTATTTTCTTAATAACGTGTTAAAGCTATAACAGTTTTCATGAAATTTCACATTCAAACTGTCGCCATTTCGGAATTAATTTAGTAACAGCAACGAAATTACTTATTCTACTCATTAAAATACAAATTAACTACGGTAAATTTGAAGTTTCTAACTATAGACCTTGAGCTATAAAATGATTTATATATAAAAAAATACATAACGACTGAAAGATTGAAAACTAGTCACTGTAGAACTATGTTCATTTTGTAAATTTTATGTTTGTATCGACCTAAGGAACAATTTAATATAAAAAGTTCCAGAGAGTTCCGGGACACTGTATATATAATAGGCATTTTTAAAATTTGCTAAATACAAGATATGTTTATATCCTCTCAGTAAAAGTATGTTCCCTTTAACAGTACGAATAACTGGTAAAATAACATGTGAAGGAAAATACCATGCATCAAATTATTTGGATTAGTTGAACAACAAATTTTAGTTATAAAAAAATAACGCATTATATGTGAAATTATTAAACATACTCATGTTAAAATCAAAAAGGAATAGCCTTAATACTTTACCTCTCCCATTTACTGAATACTTAGGTTTCCTAAGTACCTTTTTGTACTTTAATTGGTGTGTTTGAAATTGTGTTCATGTCTTAATATTTATTATTTAGTTTTTCTAAAGGGACAAACATTGTGTTCTTGTTTCCAGTGTGTTCTGGGACTTATATTGTGCTGCTCCAGAGAGGAGGGATACGTGTGAACACTCCAGTGAAGCAAGAGCGTTCCACGACTATGTACGTATAATAGGAAGATGAATACTGTCAAAATGTACGGTATCTCCAAATTATTACACATTAGCCATCTATCTATGGGTGGAGGTAAAAATTGTGAAAATATCTTTCCACAATCCTCGAAAAGAACCATACCGTAGAACAGGGGTAGAATTTTGTACCGGTACTATGAAACTGGGAACTGTACTGAATTTTGATAACCAGAAAAAAGTCAGTGAATTGTATATGCATTCTGTGTGGGAAATTTGAAGTGTTTGCCAATAGCCCAAAGTGTACATTCTTTAACAGCACTCCATTGATTGTCTTTTAATGTTGTTGTGTGTAGTAAGAAAGTCACAATTTTGCAGAAAATAATAATGTTGTCGTCAAGAGCGCACGAGATAATCATGCTATTTTTGGGCAGAAAAATTGAGATACTGCAACTAGAAAAGGGAACGAGAAAAAAATAAAATAAAAGATACAAAATAGAAAACTTGCAGTATTTTAAATAAATATATAATTATTTTTTTAGTATCCACCCTATGTGTATATGTTAGCCAGCTACATGTAACTTGTAATTTCAGAATGCCGGCCCTGCCCCAAGTCCGCTGGGCCAGATGCCACCTAATGATGGAATTCCAGGAGGTCCTGGTATGCCTCCAGGATTCTTTCCTGTAAGTAGCATTCGTATAACAACCAATTTATTTGATAGTATACTCCAAATTTCTATCATGTCTATCCTTAATATCCCAATGTGGGAAAAAGTAAACGAAGTTCTGTATTATGGCTTAATTTAGAAAGAATATTAAGGTATATAAATGTGTCGTTTTGCTAATAAATATGGCTTATTATCAGTTGGTTTATAAATATTATGTTATATAATAGAGTACATTTAAGTTAAACACACAATGATTCCATCTCACATATAATAGATTGAGATTCACATAATGAACATTTTTCAGCCATTCATGGGACCGAGGTATCCTGCTGGACCAAGACCTGGTGTTCGAATGCCACAACTTGGAAATGAATTTAATGGAGTAAGTTTATTATTATGATTTTGCTGATTGAAATGTTAAATTTATTTGGCACGAGGTCCATATAGCAAGATAGTGAAGAACCAATATCTTTGATAAGTGTTGGTGTTTAAATCCTTTTGATTTTTTGTCGCCATGAAACTATTACAGTAGAACCCCTCATATCCGACCATGACGGGAACAGGCCATGGTCGGAACGGCCAATAGGTTGGATATCGGGAGGAGCATAACCTGTAGTCTCCGCAACTTCGGTAATCATCTCTCACGACCATGACAACAGCTGTGAGCATAATATGCTGTCTCCGTGACTTCGGTAATTGTCTCCCATGACCCCAACAACTGCCGTAAACATAACTTGCAGTCTCCGTGACATCGGTTATCGTTTCCCGCGACCGCTTCAACACCTGTGAGCGCAAGTTTCAGTCCCTGTGACTTCGGTAATCGTCTCCCACGAAGGCGGCAACACCCGTTATCGGTTATCGGCGACAGTGGTGATCTTCCGCCGCGATTACGGCAACATACGCGATCGGCCTTTCGGTTAACTGATTGTGTTCGACGTTATTGCCTCAGACAAGAATCAAGTTGACGGTCAGACACTAGATCTGGTATCCCGAGGAGTCAGTTATTCCAAGGTCAAATATGAGGGGTTCTACTATACATCTATATTTTTCGGTAGAACAAACTGGTCTAGTGATAGAGCACGGGGCTTTGGTCACCGAGGCTCTGGGTTCAAATCATGCCAATCGCCAATGGATTTAGCTATGTGTTACTACTTAGACCCTCTAGCCCTAGTGTAAAGTAATGTAAAGCGTCCTAGGATATGAAGGTAAAACATAAAAGAAAAAAAAAAGAAACTGCATACCTAATTATTATGGGCAACTATGCAAACATCAAAAATCGGTTATTTCTTTTGCTTTTCATATCCTGTGTGGTAAATAGCAAAACTATATATAGCACGGATACAATTTTATATTATAACTGCAATATAAATGTAAGTGGAAGTCTCTTAATACCTAGGGAAGATTGGTTAGAAGAACCATCAGTTTTTAGATTCAGGGCAGAAAAAGCAGCTATATTTTTTTGGCAGAGACAGTTAATCCACCCCAGTCAATAATTGATTGGTCAAGAAGGGTAAGGTTAAAGAATTTGTTGTATCGGTATTCTGGATACAATTGTTTGCAATATATCATACTGAATATGTTTCAGCCTCCAGGTCAGCCCATGATGCCTAACAGTATGGATCCATCTAGACCAGGTTAGTATATTATTTTGTTATCCTTTATTAGGGTTTTCTATATTAAATTAACATTGACTAAAATATCAAAAGTAATCCTTCCGCATGATTTTTAGTAAAATATGAGTTTATTTTGGTCTTGACTGGTATCTAAACTGACAGTGGTGGTAGTGGTTTTTAAGATACATTTGATTTTGTGACCCAAAATGATTGATATGTAGGCCTAACGAAAATCTTTTCTTTACATATGAATCTGACTAGAAATATTCATCTCCAATTCTTCTAACCCTGCAGTAAACATTAATTTGTGATGAGTATAAGTAATTTTAAATACATTAGTTTAAAATAGTATTTCAGTAGAGTCTTGATTACCCACATGAACCAGCTGCGGTTAGGTCAGATACAGTAATAAGAACCCGCTGTAAACATGTTGAAAAATAAGTTGGCAAAGTGTGCTAGTGTGCTAAAACTGACCAAGCACACCAAGCCAAGTACAGATCTCTAAAGCCTGGCTTTTATCTTCCAAATATAGACGGGGTTGGCAAAACAGATTCTTTTGACAGTTGCTACATTGAAATAGCGCACAATTTCACAGTTCTTGATCATTCGCAGGGAAGATTGGATGAAACGTGGTGTTAGATGCCTAACCAAGGCTCTACTAATACAATTCACCCAGTGAACTTATAAACTAACTTTACAACATGATATAGTTAATAAAAAGGTTAAATACCTGTAGTACTGCCAGTGATCCTGGATTTATGTCAGCGACCCAGGTTTCAAACCTTAAAGTTCATTTTAAAGCTGTTACCATAGTTAAAACGCATTCCAAACACACAAATCCTCTTCATAACTGGGAAGAGTCGTTAACGCACGAAACACGAACACGAAAACATTAAACATGTTCGTGTTTCGTGTGTTTAACGACTCTTCCCAGTTATGAAGAGGATATGTGTGTTTGGAATGCATTTTAACTATGGTAACAGCTTGAAAATGAGCCTTTAGGTTCGAAACCTGGGTCACTGACCTAAATCCAGGATCACTGACAGTACTGCAGATATTTAACCTTTTTATTAGTAAATCCCTCCTCTTATCTGGCTTGAAACATATCGTGTTTCCCTGTTCTTGGCACCGTTAATTGATCCAACAATGACTCATCATCTAACGGCACCACGTCTCGGTGGCGGCAGGAAGCAGTTGTCACTCCAAGCAAAACAGTCTTACCACCTCGTGACTGCCGCTCGGCGACCGTCGCTGAGTGACAGTTGGACCTGTGGCTCCAAGCAAAAAAAACACAGCTTAAGAACCTCAAAAGGCTTAAAGAAATTTAATTTTTGTACTGGGAATTGTTTTGTTACAGAAATGTTATCTAAGCTACTTGAAGCATTCATTGCATGCCTGTAATAACAAAACATAGTTTGACAAGTTGATTAGTAGTATTTTCCATGTATTGCAGTGATTGATACTGTACTTAAATGCACGGTAAATGCAGTTATCTACTTATATTATACAGGGTGTTTTTTTTTTTTAAAGGAACCCAAATATTACAAGTACTGTGATACACTGTTTAACAACAAAACAAGCTTATATGCTGGTGTCTCTGTTTTATTTTTTTCTTTACTTCATTGCCGATATTGTGATATGCATTGTTGCATAGTTATCTATGAAAGGTTCCGTGTTATTAGGAATTTATTGTAAACAAGACTCAACATGGGGTTTTCACAAGCTCAAATAAAGTATGAGTTGTAGCCTGTTGTAGTTCTAAGTTTTTGTTTACCCGGTTTCCTTAAATATGTACAAATGTCAACAATAGTTGATTTTGTAGGTACTGGAATCACACCTAGAATCTGAATTTCAAACCTTTCTTGGAATAACCAATGATTTATTTTTAATGTATTCTTGTAACTCTTTTTGCATGGGAAAACACCATGTTGAGTCTTATTTACAAATAAATTAACAATAATACTATTCTTCATGGATATACATCATTCTCTTTCCCGTGCATCTATGGAATCCTTGAAGCTAATGGCATTTTTAGAGTTGAACAGTCTTCTGCAATGGTGTTGTGAAAATCAGCTGATTTTAAACACAGAGAAAACTCAAATGTTGGACTTTCACATCTAATAGGTCATTACCAGCAAACAGCTGTGGCCTTAATGTTCCTCTAGAAGACAAAGTTGTGACCTCATCCCAAAATGTTAAGTTTCTTGGTTTGATATTGGACGAAAATTTGAACTTTCACCATAACTTTGAAAGTGTAACCAGTAAAGTCTCCACTGGGGCTTTTGTTCTTCAAACTCTAAAACAAAAGGCTGGTAGTGAGGTGCTTTTGTCGGCATACTATGGCATAGTATTTCCATAACCATCATATGCTGTATCTGTCTGGGGAAGTGAAAATCAAAGGACTCTGATAATGTTTTGTCTCCAAAAAAGGCTCTAAGATAAATCTTCTCCCTATCAAAAGAGCAATATTGCAGGGAAATCTTAAGTTGGTGTAAAATTTAAACCTTTCCCTCTTTGTACATATTGGAGACGCTGTCGTTTGTAAAAAAGAATCGTTTGTAAAATATTCTAAACAAGAGTCCATCGTTTTTTGTCATAAAAAGTCGTTAATGTAACTTTAGGTATTCATATTTAAATTATTTTACAGGGAGCGGCAAAATAATCTGACGGTTTTCTTTTCTGCCCTGTCGAGCAAGTGAGTGGTGGAGAGTGGTCGGATTAGGTGCGTTACAAAACCAACGGCGGACATTTTTTGTAACTGTAGCTGTGGACGGCTGAGCACCATGTATTTGTAGTGAAAGTGTATTAAAAGTGGCAATTCCTGTGTAGGTGTTCAGTAGGCGTTTCAATGTGGGCCAAAGAAGAAAAGTCCCAAATAGAAACACCATTTTGCTGTGGGTGGGTATCTTTAGAGCCTTTAGCGCAGCATTGATACTAAAATCAACAGGCCATCCGAGGTCAGCCCGGACGACTGAGAACGTCAAGGGAGTGAGGAAGACTGTGTGGTGTGGTTGAAAGTGTGATTCGTCGCTCATAATGACAATTTTGTCACGTGTAAGCAAATCAATCACTTGTTCTGAAAATGAGATGCGCTTTGCATAACCACTGGGCTTCAACTGTTGACGATTGCCATTTTGTATGAATGAAGGTCGTATCGTAATACTCTTCTACTGAGCGGCCAGACATGTGCCGAGCTGCAGCTTATTTACATGCAGGCCGCTGAGGACTAGCTTCCACAGCTTCTCTCACTCTCTCAATGTTCATTGGTGTCCGGGCTGACCTTGGACAGCCTGTTGACTTTTTTCAATGCTGAACTAGTAGCTCTGAAGTTATCCACCCTAAGCAAAATGGTGTTTCGAGTTAGGACTTTTCCCCTTGGACCCACATTGAAACATCTAGCCTACGGAACTGTCGCTGAACAGCTACACAGGAATTGCCACTTTTAAAACTGCATGGTGCTCAGCTGTCGACAGCTCCATGGCTACTAAAAATGTCCGCACGTAGGCTTTGAAACACCCCTATTCCCACCACCCTCCGCCACTCACTTGCTCGACAGGGTGGCAAAGAAAACCGTCAGATCATTTTGCCTGTTCCCTGTACTAAATTAATTAATATCCCTTAAAAATATTTGTTATCTTGTCTGAAATCTAAGCAATAATTTTAGTTATTGGTGGGGATTGCAGCAGTGCAGTGGGTAGAACCAAAACAATCCCTAACATTCCATTATTGGTGCATTTTAAGTCCATCCCATTTAATTTTATTTGGAATTATTATATTTTTTAAAAATATGCTGATTCCCCTTTTAGGACTCTTGATATTTATAGCTCATTGATAGAAGTAGCTTTGTTGGAATAATAAATTTTTAGAAACTGAAAAATCACCTTGAAGCAATTTAACATACCAAAAAAGTAATTTTCCTCGTGAATAATAATACTATAACATAAAAAGAATTTTACCGTTCATGGGATCAACAAAATGTACTTTGTAGGAAAATTTAAATAATAAGTTGATCCTTCTTAGTTTATAGATTTTCAGTACCTAATCCAAAGTTTTTGCTTATACAAAAACTATTCCAGTTACATCAGTGTTGCATCATTAAGTGTCAACTGCATTGAATATGCTTAAGTAACACAAGAGCAAAATGTCTAAAAATCTAAATCTAAGTGTAGGTAATGAAAGAATCAATTTGTCGACCAATTGCTATCCTGATAACTCTTTTTCGTAATGTTTTGGTTTTTTTTTTGACATAGTTAAATTCTTATTTTCTTTGATTACTGACTTGCTTGACAACTCCCAGTCAGCTGAGGAGTCATTTTATAAACAATCAAACAAAGAATTCAATTTGTATGGTAAATTTACAAAAAAAAAAAAAAAAAAAAATACTGACATTTTTTACAACAAATAAATGAACAGGTCATAAATTATGATTAGGTGTTATTACTATACAAATTATAGAATAATACTCTATGTTTCTTTCTACTGCCATGTAAACAATATATTTTAGCCAATTTCCTAAATAGGGAATAAGCTATTACCGTAGTACTCATGGTCAGACCTGGACCCGGGACCGATTTACTTTTTCGTTTTTAGGTCCCTAGAGGCCAAAAACACCATCCGTTCATATCCATATATATATTTGTGTCCGTTAGCACGATAACTCGAGCAAAAATGATTTGATTTTGATAAAAATGGTATAAACGTGTAAACCTACATTTATTCAAACTAGTTTGCAGACCAGCATGATCGTACTATGGGAACGAGGGTTTATAAGGGGTTTTTCCCATTTTGACCCTAAAAACACATCATTTCACAAATTATTTCCAAACCATTTTGTAGAGCTTAAAAAAACAAATAATTTAGTATATTGAAGCGTTATTGTGCGCCTAATGGTTACGGAGAAAATTCCAAAAAATTGTAAATTTAAAATTCCCATGTCATTCTTATGGAGAATAAGTCAACTTGTTGTAGTTTGCCTATTTATGAACATATTTTGATCAAATTTGGAAATTACATTCATTTCTTACTAAACTATTAACATTTTACAACAAAAAACACTTTTTTACCCTCCCTGTTGCAGCAAACCTAAGTACTCGTTAAACTAATTCTAATTAAATAGGGAATAAATGTGATATTTTTAAGGAGGCATTTTAGTGCAAATCCAATCAGGCAAATGGAAATTCGCCTAGTCTGCAGGTTCGCTGCGGCGGGGGTATTTGTTCATTGACTATTCAAACTGCGGTAATATACAGTGGTATTTTGGAATCTCTTACTGGCAGTTCCAGGGTTAAATGTGTTCCATTCATTAAGTGGAGGATTATTATTCACGGAGAATATTTTAAAATGAGATAAAAAATTGAAAAATCTTTATTGAGTTGTTTTAATGGACCATAGTGGAAACCAGATCTTGTGTCATTTCAGTGTTCAGAACTTAACATGTTACTTCTGTTGAGAAGTGATAGGTTAATTTAGTTGTAATTTTGTTTGAGTTGAATTCTCTTTAACTCTTGTTTGTCTATCGTTTAGGTGAAGGCGGCGAGTATGTGGGTTGGCAAGGTAGGCCTGAGTTTATCAGATTATCATTGTCAAGTCACTCACAGCTTGCTAACCTGCACTGCACCTACCATATCTCTCTCTCTCTCTCTCTCTCTCTCTCTCTCTCGCTATCTTGCTGCATGTCTAACCAACCTAACTCTAAACTGTCATTTGTCCCTTGAATTCAACTAAGATTCATCTTGTGTTAAATCATAAAGTTACTGTTTTTTGTGTTTTCATCCTTTTCATCTTACAATTGCTAAAAAATGTCCAACGCAATATTATTACTTTAGACTCCTTCTCTTTTGGAAATTTTGGGGCCTGTATCTGAACTAAATGTTTGTACCATGAAAATTTGTTACTAAAATTATTGAGTTTCAAAAACGCATATCAATTGTAGTTAGTAAATCCAAACAATAAAGGAGTACAACAATAACATCTGTTGGTACCGAACAGCGTTTTACGAACGGGTTGCGATTTGTTTGTTTACATCATAATGGACAAATCTTCTCTTATGTTATTCGTACACAGGTCGTCCGAACCAAATGAATTCCAACCAGAGGGAATCTAATGTAATATTTATAAAAATTATGTAATGGGTTTAAACCTGTATAAAGTTTTATTTGAAAGCATATCAAATCCAAAGTCCCTAAGTAATTTTACCTTTGTGAAGTCTTTGGCTTATAACCCTTCCAAATATCAGCTTCAGTAATTTTAAAATTTGTGCTTTTAAATTATAGTTATATCTTTATTTGTTGTGGGCGTTATTATAAGAGTTTAGTCGCCTTTTTCTTTAAAACAGTAAATTAATACTGTAACTATAACCATACAATTTTGTCTTACTGTATTGATACTTATTATTCAAGTCCTGCTTTGTATGAGCTTAGTATGGCAATTAGTATATTTTAAAATATTTATTCATTAAAAAAATCTTAAACAGCGTAAACCCTCCTGTTAATGCTATTTCAGTCAAAAGAGTTAGTTTAAAATTGAATTTCACAACAAACTAAAAATTTCCTTAAAATTGTACAGTAAAATTATATCTACAATACTAAAATTATACAGTACTTTTATTTTCGAACAATTAATAGAAGGATATACTAAACTTATTGATTATTTTGAGCTTTTTTCCATCAACAAATATCAGTTGGTGATATTTTTTTTAGCAATTTTTACCCCAAATCTTAAGGATGCAAGTTGAAACATCTAAATCAATTTATTAAATAATTTTTCAATCATGTTATTGGAATCGTAGTGGATACCTACTTTTTTCTTAAGCTTAAATTGAAAAAATAACTAAAACACCACTATATTGCGAACCAACTGTGGTACCTAGTTACCATACATTAGTAATCTTCACAGTTAAATTGTAAACAACATGACACCACAAATATCATGCTATACAAATAGGGCTGTAATTTGGCTAAATGATATTTTGTAATTATTCCATATCCTTCTGTAAATAAATATTTATTTATCAATGATACCCCTAAGATATGGCCACTGAGAAAAAATGAAAATCAAAATCATAACTGTGATAAATTCAATTACAATTTTTGAAGAATTTTCTCTTTACTATTGATAAAAATTTCTGCAAGAATCTTTCAAATACTTAGTGTAAATTTGCGGTTACCAACACCTATTTATTTCTATTTAACCTGTATTTGTTTTACTCACAGGTCCTCCTGGAATGAGCCCAATGAACCCTAGGATGAACCCTCCTAGAGGACCGGGCATGGGTCCAATGGGTCCTGGGTCGTATGGCCCTGGGATGAGAGGCCCTCCTCCCAACAGTAGTCTGGGTCCAGGTCCGGGTGGCCCTGGTGGACCCGGCGGACCCGGTGGTCCTGGGATGCCTCCCATGTCCATGACTGGCCCTGGGGGCCGGCCACAATGGCAGCCCAACTCCTCCACTGTAAGTTTTACAAGTCCTCAGTAGGATAGGTTTATTTGAATGGGAAAGAGTCCACTCCTGCACAAGAAAAAAAAAATTCACAGTAGAACCTCCATTAACCACAACACTTTTAATGGAAATACCGACTAACCGCAACGGCCTAAGAAAATAATACCGAAATGTGTCTTGGACAAAGGAAGAGAAAGGAAGTGACCGAAAGACCAAGGGTGGCAGAGGGTTCGGGATTAAGGTCGTTGACTGTTATACAATGTAAACTACAAACACACTATCCTCATACGGTCGGTGATCACAACATGTGACTGCTAAAGAGAAACAGACTCTAGCTGGTGTGTTGCTAATGAAGGGATATAGCAACACTATATCCCATTACCATATACAATATTACAATTACAATATATTACAATTACATATATTGCTGCTATAGGAAATGTTTAGAAACAAATTAATAATTGATGTGCATGTACAAATTTATTTGTATATATTTGGCCTTTCTTGCAATTAAAGGTATTAAAATTAACGTGAAAATTGGGCCTTAACGTGGGCCATGTATAAAAATATGCTTTATTTACATTTTTCTTATTCTTATCGCTATAAATGCTGAAAAATAGCAATCTTCTATAACAAAATTTTGGCTATCTACCCCTTTTTTCAGTTCGAGGGGTTCTTAATTTAGGATCCCAACGAAGTTTAAGTTGGAGAGAGAGTTGTCTTCAGGTTCAATGATGTTCAGAAATTCAAGACTAAGAATATTATTATTATTCTTAAAAATGATTAATTACTATTATTATATTTAATTCTAGTCTTAGAATAATAAGAATTAATTTTTTTCAGCCCATGAACTACTCTTCATCATCCCCTGGAAATTATGTGGTATGTTATTACTTAGTCTCTTGACAGTTATAGTAATAGAAAGCAAGTATTTTAAAATTGAAGCAAAGGTTAAAAAAAAAAAAAAAAAAAAAAAAAAAAAATACTAAAATGAAAGGTTTGCGGATAGTAGGCCTAACATTTCAATTTTAATCTTGTTCTCTTGGGATCATTACAACAGTTAATTTAGAGCTGGAGAAAACCCATAACACCTCACACGTTTGTCAGCAATGTAAACCACCTTCTTCCACCATTTCCCATTTTTTGCTTAATTTCCACAGAGCATGACAAAAAAACGTGACTGAGTTTTATTAGAACTTTTTTTTAATATGTGAAAACTACACTAGTATTACATTCTTACTTTAAAATATTTTTTAAATTCTATATTAATTTGATATAAACTTAATTTATAATATCGTCTCACTTAAGTTTTGTAATGCATATTCATAGTGTGGTAAGGCAATTTAACACTGTTAATCCATTGACAACTAAATATTTTTTTATTCCTCTGTTAATTTTGTTAGCTTATGTTGTTCTATGTCTCTTATTACATGTATTTCAACAATATATTTCTATATTTAACCAAAATGAAAGCCAAAAAAGAAAACTCTGTGTTTTCTCCAATACTAATGCAAAAAGAAGCAAAACAGGCAATGTGTGCAATAACTTTTAAATTCACTAATGCCGTCAACTTCCACTAAAGGCAAACATCGTTTATTTAATGTGGACCCTCCCAGGGCTAAGCCACACATTAGTAAGCCCAATGTGGATTGCGTACGTACGGGACTCAAACCTGCGCATGTAGAGAGACCTCAGCGCTACATTTGTTAGTGCAACGCTTAGCACTAATGCTTGTAGCTTAGATTTGACCAACTACCTAAATGCCATTGGGTTAGCATTACGGCTACCTCACCACAAAATGGGGTGACGATCTACACCCGTGATGACAAATTCGTTGCAAATGTGTTAACTAACGTTAATTAAATGGAGTTACAAGAAGAAACAAATTTAGAAAAATAGTTATAAATTGAAACTTGTGTTTCAGGGTCCACCCGGATCAACAGGCCCCCCTGGTCCTGGGACTCCGATAATGCCTAGTCCTCAAGGTAAACCCAGCTTCCAATATAACTTGAATCCCATTGTAAATTTGTGTTTAATCTAGTGTCACTTAAACTGCATTGGTGAAAATTACGATTGTAATTAAATCATCAGTCAGATAGAACTTGCCAGATAGAATCATAGCAGCGATGTTGTGAGGTTGGGGCTCAAACTCTCTAGGTATTTTTTAAATTAAAAATCAAACAATAAATTCAGCTCACAATAATGAAAACTTGTAAAATTTCTTTAGGATTTAAATTGTTGTTTGTGACACTAAATTGAACAAGTTGATGAGATATTTCACATGGATCTCTGGTAACCCTTGGGCAAGTATATGTTTGTGTCAATAACCTAATAGTGCAACCTGTTTTAGTTCCAATCTTATGGTTCTAGTGCCCTCTCAACGGGTGGAATAATTGTGTGTCTATATGTATTTCTACCCCATTGTACATACTGACATTGCACTAACTATGTTTGCACTGTAGTATACACACATGCTTGAGTGTTTATAGGCCTGTCATGACATACCCAAAAGAGTGGGAATAGTTATAGAATAGTGATATTAGAACAATATGTGGGTATTATCACCCCCCCCCCCCCAAATGAGTATCAAAATGTTTTCATCTTTTTGTTCCACCATTATAAAAGGTGTATAATAAGATTACACTTAACTGTATCCCTTCAAATTATAAATAAAACCATTAAAAAACCGTCAGTTGTTTAAAAATCTACTGATTAGAAAAGTTAACTATTTTATGAGTGTATTTTTGGGTGCCTATGTTTATTCAACGTAATTTTGTGTCTCACCTTTTCATGCCATACAAGAAGTTAACTATGAAAATGTTATTACGTAAACTGTTACCTTTTCAATATCCTTTGGTTTATCAGATGACGACCGGTTTCGTGACGACGGTCACATCATCTGGTCAATCCTTGTAGAACGATTTGTTATTAAGTGTATCTAACGAATCGTTCTACGAGGATTGTCCTGATGATGTGACCGTTGTCAAGAAACCGGTCGTCATCTGAAAAACCAAAGGATATTGAGCAAGGTAACAGTTTATTTAATAATTTAAAATTTCAATATCCAGTAGTAGGAAAATGAACTCTGATGCAAATGTTTGTTTTAAAAATTTGAGTATAGTTTTTAGTTTACCAATACTGTGAATCCTCTTTTTCAGTTGTGCTCTAAATTATTTAGGATGTCTCTAAAACATGTTTTAAAACTAAATATGGCTTGATTAAAAAGTTAAAGAGGGTTTTTTAGTTGGATACCTGCCATTTGATCTTATTTTCACTGTTTTCTTGCTACCTTTTTGATTACTGAAAAAAACCAAAATCATATACTCAACTAGGCCTATCCCTTATTTTGAATTAAATGTTGTATGATTCCAATTCCTAAATTCTCAATGTTGTAAAATTGACTGTTGTTTTAAAAACTCGTTTTTGTCTCTTGTTGATCATATAAAAAATCAAATTTCTGGTTTTTTGTGTAAAGCTAATCTTACAGTAAAAAGAAGTATCCAACTAAATATATCTTCAAGCGAAATTATATGGTATGACGAATAACTAGGAAATATGTGCGTAAAACTGAATATTCATACATACCTTCCTTGAAACTCTTTTAGTTATTTTGACCTAAACAACAATATGTTAACTTTGAAAATAAATCCTGGGACTCTGTATGCCCTATTTTCAATTGAGTTAACAACAAAACTATAAAGGCGAACAGTAAGCCATACTTACAACAGTTGTATTCTATCTATTTCATTTCCTGTTTATACTTTGTTATGTCAGAAGCAATTTAAAACAAATACACGCAGTTACATACATCAGTGAACTTTGAAACTTTACAACTACCGGTATATTATAAAATGTTGTAATCAAGTTCAAGAATTTAAATTTCTAACTGCTTTTGTGTGTTAAAATTGTATTATATTCTTATAAACTCCTATTTTTATTTCAAATGTACTGGTAACAGCATTTTAATTTTAATATAATTTTAGACTCATATGCCTCACCATTGCCTCTTTGAATCTCTTTAATAAGGTTTGAAGTGTGTATGTGAGTTTGTGTGTTTGTTTAAAACCGGTTTATATATATTTAGTTTACTATTCCCCCTCATTCTACCATTTCCTATAAGCTGTGCATATCTGGCTGTTAATAACTTTGCCTTTATTTTGGTTGGTATCTGTGTTGCTTTTGGTAACAAATTATAAATAAAGACACTCCCGTACCATAATGGCATCAAATTATAACATGGTAAATTAAGTTTTTTTTATTTAGTCTGACCAAGTTGATCCAAGATGCTAATTAAGCCTCTTCAATGCCCCAGAAATGGGTTCAGGTACTTTGTGTGAATTAGGGAAAAAAGATTAATACAAAGATAAATGAGTATTCGGTTGATTTTATTTTTTATTTGATTTTAACGGGATTGGAATGTAAAAACTTGCATTATTATTTTTGAAAAGTAATTTTGTTTGATGTAACTTATGTTATTTTTAATATTTAACATGAAACATCTGGTTTTATGAATATTTAATGATAATTTAGGTCTTGTGTCTTTTCTTTTGCCCATTCCTTTTTATTAGCAACCACATCGTATTTACCATGAAAAATCAATTCCAAAGGGGAAAGAACAAAACTGGATTGTGTAATCCTATAAACACGATGTATAAACTCGTCTTTAACACAAAACTTTTTATTATCAAGGATTTTTTTGTTACTTGATCATTTATCTCACAATTTTCCAACTGGTAAAACAAATATGGTTTTCCATATTTCAAGATTAGAAAATTAATCCCATATGCAATTAGTCAAATCCGTAAATTGAAACTTCAAATTCAGATCCAACCAACATTAGTGATAACAATGAAAACTAAAAGTTAAAAAATATTAATTTTAAGTTTAGGAACCCTTTAAAATAGGCCTTTATGTTTTAAAAATTAAAAATGTAAAGTCAGCGTCAGATACCAAGCTGCAACTACATGTTGTAGAAATCACAAAACAGTAAACATAAAAGTGGAATTTGGGGCTGGTGATTTCCAAGGGGTGTTTTAATACTAAAATTGGTTTTTGTGTGTCATTTTGTTTCGTGGTTCTTAAAAAAATCACCCAGAACATAAGAGTGTGTAGTAGCATCTATCCTAAGTACTAATTTAACTCAATGCCTAATATATTTGAGTACTAATTTAGCTCAATATTATTTATATCATGAGTCTTAGACTTTATGAAATTATTTTAGTAAAAAATTAATAAAGCAAGCGGAAATTCAGTCTGGAGATTTGCTGCATCTGGTATTCCTTATGCAAGATTTATCACGGATTGAATGATCAAATATTGTATTTACTTACGTCTTCAATCCAAATTCTTGTGGAGTACGCGATTCACCTTTAGGCCATCACCAGCTTCTGGTCCTAAACTGGGGTTTCTTGCATCCTAGCTTCTTTGGTGTTGTAGTAGTTGAGTAAGTTATTCATAACATATTTATCTTCACTTGAACATAGGGATACAACACAGAAGACAATATTAAGGACAAATACGTGCACTTTTATAAGCGGACTCAGGACTGCGGCGATTCTGCCTCAGTCAATTACCTTGTGTTTAAGTTTGAGTTGGCATCAGATTGAATTATTTCCTTAGTGTCGCCGCAGCCCTGAACCTGCTCAAACGTGTGCAAGCAATTATCCTTTAAAAGCCTTTGTTAAATCATGCGAAAATTAATATATTAAGAATATCTAAAACAGCTGCTACAACACCAACACAGCCAAGATGCAAGTAAACCCACTGTAGGACAAGGAGCTGAAGATGGCCTAAGAATGAATAGTGTACTCCACATAAATTTGGATTGAAGACAATACTGTAGTAAATACAATTATTTTATCAGTTGAAGTAACAGCGATGATAATTAACTCCAAGGCTAGGTGCAGAGGTGTCATGCGCCAGAATGAACATGTGTGTTTTATTGTCCTAGGTTCTGTGGGCCCTTATTCCCCCGCTAGCCACAGAATGCCCACACCCAGTCCTGTTACAAGACAAGGTGAACTTTTTTTATTTTAGTTGGTTTTTTTTTTTGGGTTCTACTCATACCTTAACATTGTTTGAGTTGGTTTGAAGCTTCGTTTTTCCTTGTCCTCGATTAATTTAGTTAGATTGATTGTTTCTATTGAATGTGTATTGATGGTTTTGGGTAGTTCTAATTTAAATGGATTTTTGTGTTTTTTACGAATGTAAAACCACGATTCTTTGTGGTTATCTGTCTTCTTTCTCCTGTCAGTAGATCCGTAACATTTCTCAAAAGTGATATTTTAGACTATTCTAATTTCGATGAAGGTTTTGAATCGCCGAGACTAATTTTACAGATTGCACATAATTAATTTTGAGGGGTAAAAATTATGCACATAGGCTTATTTGTTTAAAATTACTTATGCCAAGATCCTTTTAGCACCACAAGGTTTCAAATGAACGTAGAATATCGATAATAACAAGTCTCACAGCATTTAATGAATGATGTATCACCCAAGAGGTCAGTTTGATTGTTGCATTTGAAATTGATACATAAAAGTTGATGTGATACATTTTTTATGAATACACAACTTGATTGTTGGTAAAAATACTAAATATTTAAATAAACGACAAATAAAATATTTTTTTAAAAACAATATTTAAAAAGTAATATTTTTATTTCTTAAATAATTACAGCAGGGGAATTATTATTTTATTAATATATGATTAAATAGGATTTAATTGTAAACTCGGGTAGTCATAACATACATTAAAATTAATTTATATTACTTTTTAACTCAGTTCAAATAAGCAATTTGTGAAATTGTTGCTTAATTTTTCAGATTGTTCAAAATTTAATATTTTTATACTTATAAAAAACTTTTCTCTTCTATAGTTATACAGTTAAACAATAGGTTACATTGGCAAAAGCAAATTGAAACCCTTTTTAAGTCCCTTTTTTTGATTGACCTCAACATGAAATGAAGTATAAGTGTTAAAAACTTTTATGCTTGCATCAGCATGTAATTATGTGTGTCATAATTTTTGTTACTTAAACGTTCAACTCAAAATACTAACAACTATTTTAAAGTACTATTAACTACAACTATTTTAGTGAGTCGGTAGCGTCGCGGACTTCGGGCCCAAGGCAGCGATGTCGTGGGTTCGGATCCTGGTCACTGCCGATAACATTTTATCAGTACAGTTCACCTTTGTACTGTACCGGCTCACTCCTTGCTTTGCTGTTAACGATCCACGCACGGGCGCTTAGTCTATGTGGACGGGCAAATGCAAGGTTAAAAGAGGCCGCCAACCTCTTAAAAAAAAAGTTGACATTTGAGATGCTTTAGAGTCATTAATTAATAAAGAGACCGTTAAGAAAAATTAGATAAAATCTACTAATTGGTGGTAATTTTTACAGTTTTTGTAAAAGTAATTATTCAGCTATGTAAATAAGTTTTTACTAAATTGAACTTATTTAAGTATAATACCTGCTCTTCAATCAACCTTATTTCTACTTCAGGAAATAAATGATACATTCAATAAGTAGAGACTTAGGCCTAATCCTGTCAAAAGTTTAGTATTACAAAAATAAAGTAAGTAGTGTGATTTTCTTAAATTTCTCAAGTTTTTTTATAATTATGAATGATAATGACTGCCTTCCATTAAATGGACTGTATTTCAGTGTCTCAAACGACCTATTGTCCAAATCTTTAGCACATATACCTCTCCAATAAATTCTTTGTAATTGTGAATTTGTGACAGCTCCAATTAAATTGAAAACCTAAATTATTTGTATTCCTATTCATTGTGCTACCACAGCTAAATAAATATAATTGAGATAATTTAGGAGTTTATTCATATAATTTTATTTATCTCCATTACCAATTATATAACCAGTTTCCATTAACATTTTAATACAATTTCCCACAAACCTTTCCCTTTTACATCCTTAATGCTTTTATTTATAGAGGAAACATTAAAAAGTGCATGCAGTATTTTATTAAAGGTAACATACAATGCTACAAAGGTAGAAGATGATATATTTGAATAACTGTAAACTAGGTAACTCTAGAATAAGTTAGCTTAGCTTTCTCAGCTTTTTTATCATAAGCATGGGCTCGTCGATTGTTTCAGTCTGTGGTGGATTTGGGTTTGTTTGAGAAATAACAATGTCATTTAATGTGGAATATCATTATTAATTTGGACTCGTATTGTTAGTTTTTCTCAGGTTGAGTGGTTCTGTTAGTTTGGTATTTGTATTTGGTAATAGCTTTGTTGTTGTTTATAGTTGTGATCTTAAAGTGACAATGTTCAGATTTGCATGTGGTGTTTAGAAGATCCAGAAGTGCAGCGACAATTTGTAGTATCACCTGTTGATTAGTTATTTAGTTTTATACATTTTTTAGCCAAGATGGTTGGTGTGTAAAAGTTGACCTAAAAGTAAAGAATATTTATTTTCAGGTTGCTGTAACACTTGTAGCAGTGATAAGCATTTCTTTGTTGTCATTATACCTGCAGAGTGGTGCATCTGTCCTTTCCAGCTATTTAAAAGTTCTAACTGAAACAGTCCTAGTAATAATATAAAATAATATAATATAAAATATATTTTCCTATTGGAATTGCTTGACAAATAATAAATGTATGTTGTGGTTAAATATTGACTGCGGTGGTAGATTCCTTAGCAACAACAGCTGCTATTACAGGTGCCAATGAAAACATGGAAAAGTCAAAATCCATATTACAGTTAGAAGTACGAGGATTGTCCGTAAATTAAGGTCGCCATCTACCTCCCGCTGAGGCCAAGCTACTTAGTTTAAATTTGAGACCAACATTAATAACCTGATAACCTACATATGTAAAAAATAGGACAATAAAGCAAGCCAACCGACGACGACATCAAACCTACAACCATTATAAAACCATTACCATTACTATTATTTCTTTTTATTTTGTTAAATTGTTTCCTTACTTAATTCATTTCAATTGCAGCCGATACCCACCCCTATGGGATTAATTTTGTCTTGGTACCGATATTTAAAAAGGTTATAACAGAAAAAAGAAACTCCCACTGAGGATGAATCACATTCTCTAATTAGATTTTATGTTGTCTCAGTTGTCAACCATTATTTTGAGTCCATCGAATTATGATGGACATGAGTGGAGCCAAGTGTTTCAATGTAGAAAAGAACATTTTTGCAAGGGGTTGAGGTGGTCTTAACTATTTGCTCAATGATTTCCATGGTGTCTGGAGTTGCGGATTAGTACCACTTTGTGAGCGAGGGCTGAACCGGGGGTCTGGGAATACAGTAGACACCCATCACAAGGTGGGTCCGGGGGTATCCCCCAGAAGATTCTTTGAAAAGTACCGTGAAAAAAAATACTTTGAAAACACCTTCAGTGATCACAGCAAAATCATGAACATCGTTCAGGGTTAAAGTAAAATCGAGAATATCTCCTGCATTTATGGGGAAATCGAGAACACTGTATTAATTATAACGTCTTCCACATTAACACCAAAATCGTGAACATCTCCCACAGTCACAACAAAATCAAGAGCATCTTCTATGGTTATGACGAAATCTTGGCCATCTTCTGCGATCATGATGAAATCGTTAACTTCTTAAAAGATTACGTAAAACCTCACCCACAATCCTGATGAAATCGTCAATTTCCGATCCCTCTGGCCAGCAGTTGATCTGACCGGACTCGAAAGTATCGATTTTTTTCTAGAAGTTCTGTAGCCACAATGAAAATCTATGGTATGGAAATCATATTTTTTTATATAATATTACTTTGGCTATTATGAATTCTTGTATACTAAAAAAGAAAAATCCAACCGATTGAGAAAACTGCCGTGTTTGGACTACTTGCAATTCTAAACTTTAACCTAAAAACCTACAAATTACGTTTACTTATATAACTTGTTAGAGTAGAGTTGGATTCACGCTTCTTCAGAGCAACCGGTCCCTAGCTATTCTGTTGTTAGGAGACGTGGAGGGACCTTAATCTTTAACTGCCTTCCCTACATACACGATAGATGATCACTGCGACGGGCTGGTAAAACGTTAAGTTACCATACCAACCTTCAAAAATCAGTTTTCGCAGAGAAACAACATTTTCATTTTTACTTTTAACCTACAAGTATGATGGTGAGATAATTTTTGGTGCTTTCCCTCGTTGTCTCATTTGATGCAATATGACTTAAGTTAGGAGAAATGTGCTTTTGGATCACGGTATGACTGAACAACAAGGATTGTCAAACTAATAACTGTAAGGAAACGTCTGTAAAAGACTTCCAAGGTCTGCGGCCAGCAATGCCGATCAGCAAGCAAAGTTTCCTTTCAATCACTGTCTTGTTGGAAACTGATGAACACACTCTAATGTGTTGAACATATTTCGTTGGGCATGAATCCATTTAAGAATTCACATTCTTTACTATTTAAAGGTGAGTTGGTGGCTCAGTCGGTAGCGTCACGGACTTTGGGCCCAAGGCAGCAATGTCTTGAGTTCGATCCTGGTCACTGCTGTAAACATTTTATCAGTACAGTTCACCTTTGTACTGTACCGGCTCACACCTTGCTTTGCTGGATACGTTTCACGCACGGGCAGTTAGTATATGTCAACAGGCAGCAGTAATCAACACGGGTGGACTCCCTTAGAGACATGATCACAGACCATGATTCATACTTGGCGGGAGTGTAAATTTTCTTTTCCTACAGTCACCCGACAAAGTTGGCTTCCTTGGTACATAATCTTTAATGTAAGCATAGGTTGATATGCACATCATTTTAAAGGTCTGGTCAAGTGGAGTTCATTGCCGGAAACCGCATCAAAAAAGGTTCATCCGTTACAAAATGTCGGCTGTCCAAAGTTCTTGGTAAATACTCATATTCAACATTAGCCGGGAAATCTGAAACCCGTTTAAATTTGTTTTGAAGATTGAATAATATTAGTCTATGAGCTAGTTGACTTTAAAATATAGTTTCAGCTCTCAAGCTTATGTTTAATACGAGTATTTACCAATAGTAAGGCCTGTGCAGGTATATTCAACAAGAACTTTGGACAGCCGCCATTTTGTAACGGATGAACCTTTTTTGACGCGGTTTCCGGCAATGAACTCCACTTGACCAGACCTTTAAAATGATGTGCATATCAACCTATGCTTACATTAAAGATTATGTACCTACTCCTCATGGGTCGTCCCCTGGTAGAGGTAAAAAAATGATAATTCTTGGAAAAAGTAGTTTTTATACATGTAAGTTGATGTGAAAGGTTTGAATTTGCTAATGGATTTAGCTAAAAGATATTAAACCGTTTCCAGACTTTTTTGTCACCCTGTATAATGTGTAACACAAGTGCAAAAGGCCTTTGCTGCACTCGAGATCATTCCATTGCTCTTGTGTGCAGCAAATTGCCACTTTGCCCACTACTTACACAAATAACTATTTACAACATTTTGGAATACTATGATGAGACTAATAATCCCATTAGACCATTGGACAATGATGAAGTAAGGAACATGACGTTGGTCTCAGATTTGTACTGGCTCGCTCGGCTCTGACGGAAGTTTTATGTTAAACTTACAGACAACCCTTGTACTTTGTTAATTAGCTATTTAGTTGGTAAATTGTCCTCACATTATGCAGTTACACTTTAAACGGCACTTTTATAGAACACATCTACCACAAATCGAAAGAACTACTTGTAGATTTTGGCTTGTGTATTAAAGTGTATATTAAGGAATTAACATGATTTTACTTAACCTCCACTCCAGGTTTTAGTAAAAAATTATAGTTTCATCGTTCCATTTTAAAACTAATGCATCAGACCTTTGGTACCTAAGTGTCATAACATAAGAAAAGTATCAACTAAACAAAGGAATGCTTACTGCTTGCTGCTTGTTGCAGTTTATGGTTGAGATGCATTTATAATTGATGCACCACTTATCATATGTAACCAACCTTAAGTTTTGTTTCAACACTGTAAAAAAAACTACAAACAGCAGTTATTAATTAACAAAATTTAAGGTTTTTTACATTTTTAGAAATAGTTAAAACTATATTTTGCAGTAAAAATGTTATTGAAGTCATTACTACTAAATTTAAATGTTATTTTTAGTGAAGGTGTCCCTTATCACCTTCACCTTATCGCCTTTTAATAAATTGCAAGAAAATGAATATTTACAAAAATCAACAAATTCAAAATTTATTATTCAGTTTTTATTATAAAACATTCAGAATATATCCCTTGTATGGATTGTTTTCAATCTTTTTATTGTAAAAAAAAAACTATTTTCATTGATTATTTTGTACAAACATATGAAGCTTGTTTGTAATGGTCATATCATATGTAATGTCGGAATCGAGAACATTTTCTGTTGTCACAGCAAAATCGTAATAATCTTCGGCGGACACTGTAATTTACTGATTTACTGTAGTAATCAGGTATTCCCAGTCAAAAAATGTGATCATACAAACCTAGAGTTTTATTATCAGTTTTATACTGTTTTTTATTTTATTTTTTACTTTTGGTTGTTTAGCTTAACATGAGACCGAAGGGTTCACTTGTATAATTTACTTGCAGATTCGTCAAACTCAGGGGGAGACAACATGTATACTATGATGAAGCCTGTTCCTGGAGGCAATATGCCTGGGGTATGTTATTGACAATAAAGTTATTTTATTAAACTTCAAAATCTCAAATAAAATAGTCTGAAAAGAAAGTCCTCTTTAGAAGATGTTAGATTAACAGTATAATAATAGGTTAAATCCCATTGTACAAAATGAGTTTGAAAGTCAATTTTATTACTTCTCACTCTTAAATTTAAAGAACTAATCCTTTGATTGTTAGCCAGAATTACACTTTAGAACTGTAATACATCTAAGAGGTCTTTACATCCCTCAATCTACATGTCCTATTATTCAAGTAATGAGCGGTTCTATTAACTTTCTACCCATTGAATCAGTGTATTAAAAAGAAGCTAAACTACATTTTGCCCATAATTAGCTATATGTTATCTATGAAAATTTAAAAATTACTTATTTTGAAAACTGTGCCTACCATAAAATGATTTTCAAGAATACCTTTTTATTCCTGTACCCAAGTAGATTAAACTCAATTTATTTGAAAATTAGAATATGAGTCCCTCTTTTCATATTGTTCCACAAATATCTGGGCAAGTATGCGTAAGCTAGGAGGTTCCAAAGTTCACAATTTCTGGAATGTAAGGCAGCCCCAATCCGCATCACTCTAGACATTTAGCCTTGAAACCGTTTTTGAAACCAAAAATGTTGATTCCATTTCATTGTGAAATTTAAACAGTATGTTTGAGTGTGATACCAGGTAATTCCTTCTTCCAACAAGACTAGGCCTACTAGTTTAACAGGGTGTCCACATTCTGGAAAGTCAGGGATGGTCATGGAAAAAAATTCTGGTCATTGAAAGTCATGGAAAGTAATGGAAATCTCCAATGATGGATGGATTTGAGGGGACTTTTCAATGGTCTAGTCGTCTGTAACCCCGACTATTGTAGCATTTTTCAGGATTTTTCACAAATGTACGACAATTCAATTTATTACAGTTGTATTACTTTATGAGTATTGGGTTTATATTATTTCATTGTTTTATTTATTGTACTCCATTGTTATCTGTTAATGCATATTTCAGTATTTTCTGTGAAATAACTTGTCTAGGCAGTATTATTCGTGTGTGTATGTTATATTATAATTTTCGAGTAAAGTTCGTGAGTTATGGAAATCAATGGCAAATGGTCATGGAAAGTCATGGAAATTAATGACAAATTTTCTGTGGACACCCTGTTTAAGGAATTTACTACTAAAAATAACTGTTTCCAAAAGAAATATATTCTACATTACATTTGTCAGGGTGTATACCAACCGGGAGAACCGGGGAAAAAACCATGAATTTTAAGGGACCTGAAAAAAAACGGGAAAATGCTGGGATTTTTGGAGCGAGTCTGGGATTTTTGTTTTATCCCCGGTAGAAGATTGCAATCATAAAACGTGTCTGCAATTCGCCCCGATTGTTGAAGACTGTGATGACGTTTCCGAGACCATGGGAGACAATGTTAAGTCTACAAATCGCGGAAGGTGACCAGAATTTAGCCGCGATAGCTGAAGACTATGATGACGTTTCCGTGACTGCTGGAGACGACAATGATGTCTACATACCACCTGAGGTGCCTTGGATTTTGCCGCGATCGCGGTTAACGATAATAATGTGACCCTGAGAGACGACGATAATGTCTGCAAACCAAGGGATACGTCCAGGATTTTTCTGCCGATAATGTTTTCATGAACAATGAAGATAATATTCAGGATTTTCCTGCTATTGAGATAGACGATGTTTTCATGGCCCTAAGTGATAATGATAATGAAAATGATTACTATAGTAAGGAAGGATTATTATTTTTTCAACACTAGTTCACTGAACTTTGGAACAATTAGAAATATACAAATATGATGTATTTTGAAGCTGCAAGTCATAAATTGGTTATAGTTTACATGGTATAGTAAACATTCACACAGGAACCTGGAAAACTTTGAAAAACCAGGGAAAACCTGGAATTTCACTTTGAAAAAAACATTATACACCCTGATTTGTAAATTGGAAATACATGATCATTATTATTATTTAGAGTAAAAATCGTCTTTTCAATTATTGCTAATGGTCAAAAACCACAATGAGCCTATTTGCCCGTGCGAGACAAATTGACCACTGACTACTGCCACAAATTCCAGAGACTATGTATAAAGAATCTAGCAGTTCATAACATTTGAATAATAACAGAAAAAAGTAACTTATTATACATACAAGATGGTTTATTATCATGTGTGTTTTTACGGAAATAAAACACTAAATCAACTTCTATTTTGGAGTAAAATTTACTTACGCGTAGCTGTAGCTAGTATAGAATTCTTTTTAAATATTAGTATCTGCTGATGTACAGAACAATAGAAATAAGTTAATCCATCCAAACACCTATTTACTGGTGGTAAAAAATCTTAAACTAACACAATGTTTGGTAGTGCCTATACAAGTTGTCGCTTGCAAAACCAGGTTGACAATAGCAACTAGGTTGTCCCATTAAGTTGACAAAATTTACTGTCCAGGATTTTCCTATGAGTGGAGGACCAGAGAGCGGATCTTTGGGGCCGATGGGACCTACCACGATGGGCCCCCATCCCATGAACGGTGATGGGATCGACGGAATGAAGAACTCGCCAGCCAATGGTGGCCCCGGCACTCCCCGTGAGGACAGTGGCAGCGGTATGGGAGACTACAATCTCGGGGGGTTCGGCCCCGGTGAGAATGTAAGTATGACGTCCGGATATTTTTCACCCAAACTCCCTAAAGAGGACTGGTAACTATAGTGATACTCTGTGAAAGATTTGGAAAAATGATTACTGTCTGTGAAGAAAATAAACCTTATAAAACAATTGTATTTTCCAAAGTATCATTTCTACTTTAAAGTACATCAAATCCTGGCAATCACTCAAAGAGCTACAAATTACCTCCATTAAACATGATATTAGTTGTAAAAAAAGGCTTTAATTGTTAATTCTATCTGTTGTATAACCTTTCAACAATTAATGCAGTAGCTGTCAAAGCCATTGTAGGGAAAATTTTGCATCCAAAATTTAAGTGATAACTGCTATCCTAAAATGTTAGGATTTTAACATGCAAACTAATTTTATTCTATATGGATAAACATCTTAGGTAAAAATAAATCATAACCACGATGTTGCTAATAATGTTCATAGATCTTTGGCTCAATACACTAAAAGTATAATATTTCATTATGCATGTTTGTTGTTTATATGTATGTTCTGTACATATTAAATTCTATTAGATTGTAATCATGCATTGTGATGGTCCATCTATCACCAAGATTGTAAGATTTTGATCCTGGAGCTTCATTTTCACATTATGCCATTCAGAGGTAGTTTGATTGATAATGTTGTAATCCGCATTACATATCTTAAGCAATAACGTTTTCTTCACTCTGTCAGTTTATGGTTTTTCTGAATTGTCTTCATTTACCGAACGTTACTGTTAAAACAAAAAACACAACAAAAAACTGTTACTGCTTATTGATTTGTAAATATCATCATAGTTAATAATTAAATGTCAGGTGTCTTGCCAAATTTCTATGATTGTTGACATGATCATCTGAATTATGGTCACTTAAAACTAATTTTAGTAAATTCTGATCTATTTGGTTTTAATATTAAATAATTGTTTCTATTTACATTTTTGTATTTATAACAAAATTTTGATAATGATTTAAAAATTTTAGTTTGTATGTCGGTTTTCACATGAACTTTTATCCTGCCCATTTTAATATTGTAATTTTTTTACAACTACAATCTACTCAAATTGTGCCTCAAATTGTCGTTACAAATATACTTGATGATGTTTGTAAATGCAGTAGCTAGCCAATTTATTGTTGCCAACTTATTTTTAACAATATATTTAAAATTTACTCTTATTGATCAAATTTATGTGTCGAGAAAACTTTGAAGGAAAGTAAAATGAGCTTAATTGACTTTAAAAATACTTTTAACAGTATGACAGGTTTAGACATGCACACAGATCAAAGTTTTCTAATATATTGTATTGTATTGAATGCAGCTTTTAAAAAGTTCAAAGTTTATGTACCAAATAAAGGTATGCGAGACCCAAGCTGAGCCTAGCCCAAAAGCTGAACTCACCAAGTCAGAAAATTGAGTTTGAGCTAAACTGTACTATCTAGATTTTAGATCGTGTCTGGGAAGATTACGCAGTCAACAAATTCACGCTTTTAGTCTTGATTGCGCGGGACAATGATGATATCCCTACGACTGCAGAATACGATTTAATACTTCTATTTTATTTATCTACTCATCCATGAGAGATGTTTAGGAGTTTGCCGTAATCCCGGGAAACAATTATGTTGTACATGATGAGATAAATATTTCCTGAAAAAGTGGGATGAGTCAAGATAATAACATTAAAAAGCTTGCCTCTACCGCACACGAGAGACTTTTTGTCGGCCCACTATTTTGCCAAAATCGGCCCCATAGTGGTAAATCTGAGCGCACACACAGGCCGACCGCAGCCAGACAGTCGGGGCATTTTGGGGCTGACCGATTTGCCCGCCGACTGCTCCCCGACTCAACTGTCTTGTCATATTGATAAAGGCATAGAGACAAGTTTAAACACGCACACTGACGACTAAAAAGTCTGTCAGTCTGACAGAGTTTTGTGTGTGTGGGCTACGCAGGCAGTCAAGTGCGTTATGGCTGCGACATTATTATGGTGGGTTATTACTGGACCCATTAGTATTAACAATTCGTCAAAACTATCAACACTCATTCGTGAGTACATGGAAAATTTGTCTGGATATTTCCTCAAATCCGAGAAAAAGAGGTACAACTGGCCTTTCAAGGTTCTCAGACTATAAATTGGATGCATCCAGTATTTTCTTGCACAAAATCTGATCAGTAACACACATATGATAGCGGTTTCTGTCCTATCCATCCTTTTGACACTTGAAAGACGTGGTGGGTGCAGTCAATGACCAAACAGTCTTGACGACTTATCGATTCTCCAGCCAGACAGTCGGCCGACAAAAAGTCTCTCGTGTGCGATAGGTCTAAAGCTTTTTCCAGAAGCTTATCTCGATGAAAAATGTCAGGCTCTCACACCTCTAATACCAAACAATATATATTTTTTTTTAATTTGCATTTAAATATCACAAATTGTGCATAATTGTATATACCTTTATTCAGAATAGCGTAGGTATGTTATAAAAACTGAATACTATCACATTTTTTCTGGCTTGACCGAATCAATTTTTGTTAAATTGTCCATAATGTTGTATGTTTTGACCTTCAACTGTCATGTTATATTGTCATGAGAAATAAATCTTACAGACTGACCTTAACTGACTATCGTAAATGATTTATACAGACGATTTTTATATCTTTATCCAAATCTTGAATTTTAAATATTTATTAATCCAGACAAATTAGGGTTAAGTAATAGGAATTTATAGCATGTAAGTAATTTTCCATGTGTTTAACATGACAAGCTCACTCAGAGTTGCTCAGAAATGTTACCGAGGTTGTGACTTGCTGCTTTAAAAGTCCATTTCTATGAAACTTGTACACTCAAATATAATTGTTTATTATTTCAACATGAAATAACTTATAGGGTGGATTTCTGGTTTTATTTGTGCTAGGATAAGCAATTAATTAGTATGAGTTTTACCATCTCACTCATGTTAGAAGGGTGTATTGCATGACATAATGCTCTTTCTTCTTGCTTTTTTTAAACAACCCTTTCAAAAATCATTCTCGTACCGCTATTTTAAACTTTCATGATGTACACTCTTCTCACAAGAGTGATATGAGTGGATTCATTTTAGTGAGAAAACAAACACACTTTGTTTTTCTTACAGGACCAAACCGAATCAGCCGCCATTCTCAAAATTAAGGAAAGTATGCAAGAAGAAGCCAAGAGGTTTGAAAAAGACTCCGACCATCCGGATTATTTCATGCAATAACACCCACCGGCTCTGGACGGCTTGCTTCCCCCAATCCCCTGCTCTACATCCCTTCCCTTACCTCCTCGTCCATCCCCACGTCTCCTCACATTCCCCTCTAACTGTATTGTATAGATCTTCCCAGTGTAGCGGGAGATGAGCTACTTCTTCTGAGAAGGGTTCCTAGATGCGTACAAAGTGATATTCATATAAAAGATATCTCTATCATTGTTGGCATAATTCAACATTGAATCAGTATTGCTCTATTGTCTTTCATAGAAATTGTCTTTATTTATAACTGATAGTAAACGTATTCATAATTATGTTGTACTTTCCCTACCTTAAAGTATTATTTTGGGATCTCGGAAGTAATTTTTATTTGCTTAAAACTTAAATTTATATATTTTTATGATTATTGTGATAAAAATTAATGAGGTTGTATATGTAAAACCTCGATAAATCTGACCGTAACTATTTAATGTTGTATCTTTTATCAAATGTTGCTGTAATGTTTTGTACTTTTTACCGACTAAATTGCAGGCAAATTTAAATTTACATCAATGAGAAACCAATGGACTAGCATCAAGGAGCCCTACTCAAAACTATTTTACCAATGATTAATTATTATTTCAATCTGGACATAATATTTAACATATTAAGTAACATTTAAGTTCCTTCGGTTAAGAATTACTAAGTGAAAAGATTTCATACACTTAACATTAAGAAGGCACAAGTTTTGTTATTTGGTTACATATTTTACGATGCACAAGTTTTATCGTCACTAGTAAATTTATTATCAACAAGAAGTATTTTATTGAATGTACTTCAAAAAGAGTTATAGGTTGTGTTTAGTTAAATTTTTATTATAATAGATAAACATATTTATTTTGTCTCTGGTAGTCTGCCTTCTTATTGTTGACGTGTAACTTTGATTGTTGGCCCAGGATTATTTTATTTATCAGCTAAGTGAGCCGAGTATACTGTAGTTAGATGTAAGTAAATATGGATCAGTTAAATATAATTTTATTGCTGGGATGTGAAGAAATCTCCTCTCATTTTAAGTTTTAGTCTGATCTCGATTGTAGATTTTCTTCTCTAAGAAACTAACCCTTAATTAAGAAAAAAACATTTACCATGATAAAATTAACTCAAAGTTTAGTTTGTTGCTGTATTTTGTATATTTCTCTAGTTAAAGCTTTGTTTTTAAATCCGTCTATATAAATAATGTATATTTTGTTTTAGTTGAAAAATCAAACTACAAAGATTAAAAATGTTAGTTTGATAAAAATGTTCATAGAATCCCTAGAACAGAAAAAGATCCTCTGAAAAGTGTTCTGAATTTTATTGTAATTTATTTATTATGTGCTGGTTACAAAATAAGGTAAAGCTAACAAAATGTAGTAAAATTTGAAAAAAAGCCTTGAGAGTAACAAAAAACATTATTGTTTGTTGTTCAATTTTAAAATTCCAAATCATTGCAAATAATTTGTATTCTTATTATGTTCTGAAGATCTTTTTCTATAGATTAACAACCATATCAAAGGGATGATAAGTGATAATAGGGGTTGTTGTATAAAATTTACTAAGATTGACTGGAATAAATGTGCATTTCCTCACATAATTAAAAGTACACATTTACATCACATAATAAAATGTAATATTAAGTAAGAAGCCACTGCTGTGAGAATATGTATAAATTGATTAAATTGTCTTGTGAAAGAGAAGTTTTAGTTGCATAATATATTATTTAGTGACATATTATTACACTAGTACAAGGTAAAAAAATAGAATACTCTTTTTCTTTTAGTGAAATTGCAATATTATGTCAGCCATAATAAAGCATACACTTCTTGTTGGTTGTTTTACAAATTTTATTTTTTTAATCTTAACTTAATTTTAATTTAATTTTACACTTTTCACTTCTGACTGTTTAGTACATTGCTTCATTTTTTCTTGCTGTAGTGAAATTCATTTCTGTACATTCATATTAGTACTTGTTATAAAACTTTTTTTGTATTTTAGCATTTAGTTTTTTTATGTTAACTGTTACTTTGAATACTTTATCAAAGTTAAATCCTTAGTTTCAGAATCACTGCACTAATTTGTATAGATATTTCCATGTAATCCCAAGTAATCGTGGTTTCAGAAACTTTGGCATAAGAGGATTCGAAGGTGTAATTGGATTTATATTTTGTTTGAAATATTCCTGATTTACCTTATACGTTTTATTTATTTATTTATTTTTAAGTATCTAGCTAGATAGTGGTTACCCTTTGTAGATTTCCTGGAATTTATATATATGACTTATATATGTATATCGGATTATGTTTTTATTTCCTTGCATATAATAATATATTTTAAATTGTTATAACATTATACTACATTGATTATATACAGTTTTTATATTGATTCAAGATCTATGTTTATAACCAAAGTCTTTCATTTTCCAAGCTTTCTCTTCTGTGGGATGATTTTAAAGGATTTAGTCTATCCTTGCTTGTGTATTTTAAATCTTTTATAGCACCATGTGGCTTGTTTGAGTTTTCTGAAGGAAATGAGGATAAATATGCTGGCCTATTTTGAGTTATACATAATCAATCATTGGATGAAAGCTATTTGTAACCAAATGTTTGTCCTTTATTTCCTACCGTGTTAAAATTATCATGTATTGAACTCTGAATTCACCCAATCAAACAGGAATGCCTAGCATTTCAATTTTGGTACACAATTATATTTAATCATTTAAAACACTAAAATGGTTTCAATTGTTCTGTTAATGTGGCATATGCTTATGACACCTTATTATTTGATCCTTTTAGTTCAAATTAAAATTCTCTAAATTGTTTTGAATAATGTTTTAAAAATAAGTTTTATTTTTATTAAGTCTGTTTCAAACATAACGGTTTTCAATATAGTAGAATCCCAAACGAATGGAAACATTTTTTGCATTAAATATCACATTATTATTACAATCTTAGCCCCTGTATATGCCTATCTACAATGAGAACAAACTAATTAATGAATATGAAAATGTTAAATGCTCCAGTAGGTTCTTTTGTTAAGCAATCACACATTGATTTTTCCTGTTAAATGTTCCAAAACTCTCAAATGATACAGGCTTCTTGGAAATTAAACTGATTAAACAAATAAACAATAAAAAGGACAACAAATTGAAGACCTTAATAATGTTATGAAGTGGGACCATGTAAGCCCTCCTCTCAATGCAAAAACCTGTTTTGTCTAAAACTAGCTATTTAACACTAACATAAAAGTCAGCTCTCTTTCAAAACAAAACATACCCTTTTATATTACTAATCAGTTGAACTTTGCTACCCGACAGTTTTGTGCAAATTGTCGCTTTAACAAATAACAATTAAAGCCCGCTAATCCAGCATTTGATAATTCTGCACATTCACTGATCTACGTGAACATGCTGGATGCGTTTGTCAGAGTTTCTTGCAGGCGTTTGAGAACGATGCTACTCATTTAAATGGTCTGTTGCCTATTATTAGCCCATTTGACTCATTTGTTATCGGAATTACCTATTTAGCAACAGCTATTCCTGGACGATGCTCAGTAACCCGGCATTAGTGGGTAGGCACTGTATATTGTTGTCTTCTAAGTCGAGTAGGTGAGTGCACCAGTGGATGACCGTTAAAGCTTGAGTTTCCATTTGTATTTGACATGGAAGACACACTGTTAAGCTTGAGTGTAAAGAAATGTTTAAATGTATTGCCCATATTCTCCTTTACTTTGCAATGATAAAACTTGGTGTATTATCGTCAAACTGGGTGTTGAAAAATACAGTTTATCGCACATAAATAAATTAGACCAGTGAATGGCTGCCTGTTGTACAGCATTTAAAAATGGTATTAACCTCTCTCCTTTTCTAATAATAACCTGTTGGAGATTCTTTCATTGAAGACTGACACTCTGTATGTAATAAAAATAACCAATTCAAGATGTTTTCTATTAACCAATTAATCCACCAAAAACATTATTTCTAAACGTTTGAAAGAAAATTGGTCCAAATCTAGTACAAGGCCAAAACTGGTTATACCCAAAGTTGTGATCCAGTAAATGACTGACTGTTCAAATAATTGTTGGTTAGGATTTTGCTCTTGAAATGAGTAGAGAATTATACCTTAACATGTTTACTGTGAATCAAATATAATACATTGCAGTTTCCATACAAAATCAAAGAACCATGACAAATACAACCAATCTTGTTTGTACGAGACAATATTGTGGGAAGCTTGAAGATGAACTGGTTGGAACACTTAATTTTATTTGTGTTGTAAAAGGATGATTGACACTTTATTTTTCACCAGCTACAGAGTAGATTACAACCAGGCTCCAAAGTACTTTGACTAAGACCGTTTGTGATTGACTAAGTAACACAAAAAGCTTAACATGATGTTTTTTATACGAAGCGGTCATTTCACTGGTGCAGTCACCCTGTAACTTAAAGTCCTTATAATTACTTGACAGCAAGCGTTTACACAATTCTATTATTTTAGAAAATCAGTTGCTGTCAGTTTTCTTCAATCATGTTAAAATTTGCATAAGTTTTTGGGATTCTACACAGTAATTTAATTGGTATGTTGTTTTATTTACGTGACATGAGTGTAGTCATTAATAATTTACTTTTGCTAAGTGCTCATGAACACTGAACATTTATGACCAAACCATAGATCGATGAAAACAATTTTTCACCTTTATTCTTTGGTAAGAACATGATTGTGTAAAAATATGTATTAAACACTTTTAACAAGAAAAAGGTTTCTTACCTTAGGACTTTTTAAACTTATGAATGGATATTGGATATGTATTTAAAGTTATTTGTGTGACTTTAATTCATAAATGTAAATCTTATAAGGTTCTTAAATATGCTGAAAAATCAAGTGTTGTGTTTCTAAAATCCTTTTGCAACTCCCCATAGTATTTTAAGTAAGATATCAATCAAGTGAAGGTTCTAGAATAAATGTTTTGATATTACATGTTCTTCTAAACTATTTCATTCCCCTTATTCAATATTATTTTATTAATTACCTTTGGGGCCATAAACATATTACGTAACGTAGCACACTTTTTCGTAATTTTAAACCCCCCCCCTCCCCCATGTAACGCATCTTAACGCTTGAGCAACCCCCTACCCCCTTGCGTTACAATACCTGATCGTAGTAGTTTAATTACAGAATAAGCATAATTTTACTAGTGGAATATGGATTTAAATACATCATTAAACTTGTAATGACTTTTGTGTAGTAACCATTTTATAATCAAATCAAAATTGATACAAACAAACAAACAAGATTGTTACTAATAATATAACAAAACAACAAAATAAATTATCCCATTTAAAATTTAACTAATTTTATTTATAAAAAATAATAAATTGTTTACACTCGAAAACAATTACAAAAACAAAGCTGTAAAGCAAAGAAGAAATTAACCAAAGACTTTCTGTATTTATTTTTAGTTTTACTGTTATTAAGGTAGCATGACAAACGTGGACGTATCTTTTTATACAATTAACTGATTTAGATATCAATTTGATTATTTTTGCATTTTTAAAGAGGTATGTGTGCGTTACGTTGAGCCAACCCCCTCCCCCCCACACCAATGTAACGCAGCGTAACGCTATGCCATACCTCATCCCCTTCCCCTTAGTGCGTTATGTAATATGTGTATGTCCCCTTTTAATTCCTTAAAGCTATAGAACTCCTTAACACTGGCATCAATTGACAGTTTTTAGAACTCTGCTCATTTAGCACTCTTTCAAGTGATAAGAAAGGACCTATACTCGTGTTTATGTTATGGGATGTCCTATGGCATAGTGTCACAAAAAATAAGACACTGCTTCTGGCTAATTCTTAGTCGTACTACCATTAATAACTGAAATGCAGACTCTTACTTACATTATATTTAAATTAAACAGCCAATAAGTTTCAGCAAAGCTTTTTTTTTACAAAATACTGAACACATTTACGAGTTTTTAATTTTTTTGAGAATTGTGTATGATGTTGAGATACTGGAACTTCATTGAATAGCCATTGTGCAAAGTTTAAGAAAGCATAAGTTATTTATATATTTGACATCAATTAATAAAGAAAAGTTCTCTCAAAAGAATGATGACAGTACGAACGGAAAGGTATCAAATACATTAATGATCTATTCAATTTTAATTCTTCACTTAAAAACAACTAAACAAACATGTGTTTTAGTCTGTAAGTGTTTTATGTCACATTCATAACTGAAACATCAAAATCAGATACTGTATTGCTAGTAACTAGTAAGACTGATGCATTAAAAAAAACCATACCTATAGAGGTTTTAGGGTCAAGTGCATGAGAAATAATAAGTTCTGTTCAGTTTTATTATAAGACAATAACAGTAAAACAATAAAATAAGCTAACAAGGTAAAAAATGTGTATAAACGCAAAAATGATCACATATAACAGCATTTGATAAAATTTTTCGGTTAGTCCAGTCCAAGACGCTCAGCATTTTCTAGTAACCAGTTACGATACTTGGTTAGAGGGATGTCGTCTGGAGATACCTGGCGCCACTCGTTAATGCAGAACATTCTGTACGAGTCATCTCCATACTTGCCAATGCCGTAGAGCTCTCTAGGGTATGTCCAGTCTTTCTCCAGAAACTCAACTGTAACCATTTGTAGACATTAATTAACAAATATATTAAAGCAATTATTGCAGACATTGACGAATCTGGAATTCTACGAACAAATTTTCACAAATTTAGTTTTTTGTTTGCAGTTGAGACCTTAAACAACTAGACAGAATTTACTATTGTTGGGTCTTGCAAACTTGGCACCCCATAAACCCTGCAGTCCAGATTTCCTGGCAAACCTGTTTACGTAAATTCCACAGAAACCTATTCATCAAAGTGGCCAATATGCGTGAGGGTGAGGACTGGATGTACTGAGTCAAAATACTGATTTACAGGGTAACAGTTCCCCTAAAAATACTGACATTAAAAAATAAGTGCAAGTCGTCAGTAATAAATACGAGAGTACAGTAGAATACCTATGAGGTTGCAGGTGGATCCACTAGTGTTTTATGTAGTTAACTACAGTGTAATTGATACAAATATCAGAACTGTGAGTGTATACAGTATACATATATATGTATATCTCCGAACCCTTAATCCTTATTACAAACCAGTCAACCAGTGTTTAAAGAAACGTTAGATAAGCTTAAACAGATAACTCAAACTAGCTAGGAATAGGCTTTGTACACATAAAACTTAAACTTTGCTTAGTAGGTGTATAGCTTAATAAAACTACATAAAATAATAACAATAACTGAGCTGAATTAAAACACTGTGATTTGGTAGGTTATGTACGAAGAGCAGATAATTTGGGATCGGTTATTTGCTTAATCGAGTAGTTTGATAATGAACCGCAAGCTAACAGCGCTCTTAAACCAGTACGGTAACAGATACAAAAATACTGAAATACTGATTTGTAACAGTCACTTTTGACTAAACAGTAAAAGTTATAAAATACTGGTTACTGAAATACCGACCCATCTCTACTTTATCCCGGTTAATCGGGAGTTGAACAGTATTAATACTTCTTCCATTTTAAAGTATTAAATTTTATAATTGCATTTCTATCCATTCCAATACAATGCACGTGACGTACAAAACAACCGTATTTAGAGGGAAATTGATTCTCCTGATGTTTATTTCTTGCACTGAATTGAACATCTATAAATAAAATGTTGGGGAGGATGAACCTTGATAAATCAAACAGTATTATTCAAAGTACTCGATAATTCGAAATTTCCCTTGGGATTTGATTTATTGAGGTTCCGGTATTATTGAGGTTGGGTATTGGTTTATTGAGGTAGGGGTTGTTGCAAATCACTAAGAAACAAAAAATTAGGAATAGGATGTGTAATCAGGTAGGGCAATTTAGGTATGCTAATGGGTTAAGGTAAATGGGGTTTCTCTTGATTGTTTACTGGACTTATCAAAGTGACAAAATTTATCTGCCATCAGATGACATACACGCAATCTTATAGAAACTGACTACAAGACTGACCATTTATTTGCATGATTTGAATGAAAATGGTTTTGAGTGGTACTAACCAGTGTTGGATAATAAGAACGTCTAAGTACAATTATAATAATTTGTTGAAGAACAATAACTAGGCCTACTGCATTTAAACCCATTGGACAAGGAAAACAGGTAAAAGTGTGTAAACTTTAATAGCTGGGAAAAACCCATTATTGTATGTGTTTTTTGTATAGAACCGAAAAACGAAATAATCACCAATAGTCTATGGTTGAGATTCCTTTCATTAACAGCGTACCATTGGTTATCTTTTAGGTTTTTTGTGTAGTAAGAAGAATGTATTCACAGTACACGGTTGCAGTGTTGTCATGATCACGGGAGCAATATTTGGCCATTTACAGTTACAAAAATACACAGTTTTCAATGCAATTGTAATGTATTTCTGGCTAACTAAAAAAATTGTGTAACCCAAAGAGGGTCCAGCCCAAATTAGTTTTGAAGTACCTAGTTGAAGTTTGGTGTATATGCCAACCGGAGAGCCCTATGTGCTAGGTCGCTTGTCCGATGCCCCATGCCACGCCACCTTCCTAGTGTTTGTACCCTTAAAACAAGAAGCTTCATTACTGAGATTATTATACATTACCAGTAAATCTCATGATGACATGGCTTCTGGTAGTTGTTAATCCTAATGGCTTAAAGTACTCATCAATATCTTCATAGTTAGCTTTTAGTATATCTTCTGGTCGGGGATATCGTGCTAAAAATTTGTGTAACTGAGGCAGAGCTCTTTTTGCTGAAACAAACATCTCATCATTTACAGGCAGTAAAACTATTATTTTTGATTCGAATACTTTAAACACATTTACTACATGGCTAAAAAGACCATTAAATGGAGTATATGATGTATGGTAGGGAATGTGTACATACAAATATGGAAGAGTTTCGTACAGTTTAAATTTGAGTATTTCTCAAATACTTTGTAGCCATAAATGACACTGTATTCATAAATGTACACTATTTTATTTTTGAATTCATACTGTATTGAAAATCACTGAAGAGGAAGTGCACAGTACATTTGTTATTATCAAGGAACACTGATCTGTCAGCTTAATTGATTTTGAGATTCCAAATTATTATTACTCTGCACCTCTACATCATCCTAATGTACATAAAACTGAGCAAACAATTTTGTTTTGTAAAATTTAAATAACAATAAGTAAGAAATCATAATTATCTACTTCAACCCCGAGGGCTAATAATGTAAAAAGCTTTCATTTTAAATGAGTGGCTTGACTGACCATACAAAAGGTTTTATATGGAATCAAATTTATTGGTGTTTCCACAACATATAATCAACAAATAAATTCTTCTTACCTGCCGTTTTGGTTAAAAATACTGTCGCTATGAGAAGTTGCCAAGGATTATCAAACAAATCTTCTTGTACAAGGGCATAAGGAGATCTTGGAGGTATCCAGCGTTTTTTATTGTTGTTATGAACTTGGCTAAAATATTTACTGGTAACTTTACTTAATTTTGTACTCGTAAGTTTTTTATAAAGAATTCCTGCCCGGCGTTTTGTGTTTCGCAGCTTTGCTTTGGAAGGTGCTGGGGGTGAGGCAATTTCATTACTGGAACTTTGCGAGTTTAAATCAAAATCATTCTTAACTGCACACTGGCTGGCATCACTCGAAGTTTGGGAATCATAGGTGGAAAGCACATTAAGTTGGCTCAAGTCTTCTACTTTTACTTGTTCAGAGAGTTCTTCAAATTTAGTTTCTAAGATTTTTTGCTCTTGAGATTCCTTAAAGCTGTTATTTTCAAAATCATAAGTAGCAAACTTATATTTACTCTCATCACAAGAGTTATTACTTATGGACTCCTCTTTTACATCTAATATGACATTTTCGTTACTTTCATCAACCTTTTGGATTTCATCTTTTGAACTGGGATCAATGTCATGTTTAAAAAGACAATGACTTGCAATACTTTTAATTATTACTTGAGAATCACTTTCTAGATTTCCACTTTCAGGGAGATCTTTGTAATATTTTATTGATGAAATTCCTAGTTTTTGAGGTTCCCTAATGCTGTTATGTTCAGGCTCTTTAGAGAAGTATTCACTACATTCTTTCTCTCTCTTTACTTCTGATGGGATATTTTCTTCATCCGTTGAATGCCAGGCATTTGGTGACTCAACTTGTTTCTGGTCTGATTTGTGATTCATGTACATATTTAAATTTTGATTTGGCATTTCTTCCTCAATTTTAAAGTTTTGCAATTTTAGCTGGAAGAAAAATACACACAATATAGGATGTATCAAACTAATCTATTTAGATTATTTCGGTAAAAAAAGATGGATGATTCAGTTGAGTAAATATTTAAAAAAATAATGTAATTTGAGGGATTGTCACAGACGTTTCTTATAAAGGAAAAAAACAGGTGCAGGGCATACACTTTTTTGGAAACAAAATTAAATTATATTTTGATTGATTTGTTTGGTGGTAAGTTAAGTGATGGTCTGGTCAGAGGTATGTAGGCTATAATTAATAGCAAGAATTAATATTTTAAGTATAGCCTAATTGTCAGTAAACTTTGCTGGTTGTTTGGCATCTTTTTAGGTTCATTGATAATAATAATAGGGGACATAATAGGAAAGGGGTCAGGCTCCATCCGCTTGATGTCGTTAGCTGGTTAGTTGGTATGATCCAGGGTAGGCTGTGTATATAGCTTATTACAAATATTGCTCACACGATAAGGGTTATGTATTAGTTTGCAATTGTAAATTAGGCTCATGTAGTTTTGTTGGGTAGTGCTCTTTTTTCTCTCATTATTTACTATATTCCATATAGCTTTGGTTATGTTGACAGCCTGAGCTATTTTTTCCGCAGTATGTTGTTAGACCTGTTCTACAACATACCTTAAGAGCCATGGATTCTATAAAAGCAGATGTAAAAAACATATTTTATATTAATTTTTCTGTCGGTATACATATTATAGGCCGTCCAGGAAGGGTTAAGCCTAAAAACTCTGCTGGATTTGATGATATTACAGAGAAGACTCACGGGTTCTGCAAGGATGAGGTGATAAGGCCCATGGCGGAAGTAAGACAGGTGTACTATTCAGCCGGACGAGATTGAGACCGTTCTGCACATAGCGACGTGACGTCAAACCGCCTCGCACGCATATATAACTCAGTGTGACGCTGTTTGATTAAAATAAACATTTTGAACAGTTAGAATTTGGAAAAAATTGTAAAACTCGACATGGACACCAATTATAAGTGGACGATGCATGTTGTAAAAAAATAGATCTTTATACTTGGCCTTTCTTAAAACTAAAACTAAACATGAAAAAATTATAAAAGGTATAATGTTACCTGGATCTGCCAAAGTAATCCAAATGCTGTCTAACGACTACGCGTTTCGAAGCAGTATAAGCTTCATCTTCAGGTCGTCAAGAACACATTTCACTCATGAGAGGTCGTCAGATAAATATAATTTTTACACATACATGGACGGAGAATAGTTACTGTAGGCCTACGAACCGCGTGCGCGCACTTAGACAGGTTAGTCATGACCTGTCAGGCAGTCATGACTAACCTGTCTAAGTGCGCGCACGCGGTTCGTAGGCCTACAGTAACTATTCTCCGTCCATGTATGTGTAAAAATTATATTTATCTGACGACCTCTCATGAGTGAAATGTGTTCTTGACGACCTGAAGATGAAGCTTATACTGCTTCGAAACGCGTAGTCGTTAGACAGCATTTGGATTACTTTGGCAGATCCAGGTAACATTATACCTTTTATAATCTAAAACAGTAATCCTGAGACAAGAAACAACATGAAGATGAAAAAATTAGTCAGCTACCAAATCACGTATTATTTGGTTAGAAGCATCTGACCAGCGGGAAGGTTTTAGACAAAGATTCAAATTTGACTTTTTTTTACTATATACCGTTAGAGGCGTTATTTCCTTTCCTGAGATATGCGTAGTTATATGAGTGCGTCATCGGAGCTCACGTTGCGAGTCGAGTCAGTTGCGATGAATTATTCATGCCATCCAACAAATAATGTAATTTTATGAACATAGTAGTGGTGTTATTTTTATTCCTGCATTTATGTTTTTATGTGTAAAATTGTAGTTCTGTTGACTTCAGTATGTTTTTTTTCCTGTTTGAATACAGATTATTTCGTAATAGTTATAGGGTTAATGTTGCCAAATAACATTTAAAGTGTTGCAAATCGTTATTGATTAACTATAAGTTAATCAAAGTTTGCATATAATGGTTTAAATAATAAATTCTCTTTAACGCAAAGAAATGTATAACATAGCATATAGCCTAAAATATGTAACTCTGTTTAGAATTTGTTGGTGATTAAACATTATATTTATAATCAGCAAGCATTCAGTGATTAAAATATAAAATTGTTTCACTCTTGTAATACCACAATAATAAAAAAATTATAAATTATATACATATTATGACCCAAAAACTTAATCAAGACATACTAGAGAATTTCTAGTCTTATATCCGAGGAATTGGCATTTCTAAAGATCACCCAACTGCGATGGATTTTAAATATCGTTTAGGATGGCAACTGTATATTTTAGGAAAGCATTCGAGTGAAGTTTTCAAAACATCTGAGAAACCTAACATGAAGCAACTTCAATTAATGTGCTAGAATGTGTTCAAGAAGAAACCCTAAAAAGCGAAGTAATAGAGAGAGTTAATTTGTATAAAAACTAAGAAGTTGCAACGCATTTTAATGTAAAACTTATTATATCTGATTGAAAATGTGTTATACAAAGTTCATCCTTATAACGTAGAGCTACAGTGTATTAGATAATAAATACGTGGCCTTTTTATCCAATAAACGACGGCCTCGGCTGAGCGTGCGCTTGATATAATTCTTCGTAGTTAAGAAAGTAATTCTTATATCAAAATCTAATCGATACTACAGTTAAATTAGAACCTTTCCCTAAAAATTTCCCGCACGTCTGACAAACCTGATCAAATATGTGCTTTGGTAGCCGACTAACTTTTTTGTATTAGTGTAAAAAGGATTAAAGTTTGTTCGGTTATTAAACGGTTTTTATTTGAAATAAATTAATAACATTTCAATCATAAGCATCCTATGTCAATAGTCCATGACTATGCAAAGTTTCAAGATTTTTTCTCGGTTACAACTATTTAAATTTACGATTTTATTAGAACAGCGTCACTGCTCGATATGGTCGCGAGGCTGTCTGCCCCCAAGGTGACATCACGATACCCCGCCCCGCAACGCCTTCACCAGGCTACGATGCGCAGTAGCACAACTGTCTTGCTTCCACCATGATAAGGCCTATTCACCATATTATCAATACCTCCATTAAACAAGCCACAGTGCCTGACAAATTAAATATAGCTAAAATCTACCCAGTCTATAAGAAGGGTGACAAACATGAACCTAACAATTATAGACCAATTTCAAATCCGCCAGCTAATCAATATCTAAACTGTTTGGCGTACAATTTATAACCAATAAACTGCTTACCTTTAAAAAAAGAATCTTCTTTCCCCATTCCAACACGGTTTCAGAAATAGCCATGTAGTACCAACACTACAATAGCTCATTTATGCAAAACCATTAATAACTTGTGGGTAAACAAGAGCTGCGCACCACCACTCTTTTTGGACCTTCAGAAATTTAAACAGGGAAATATTTTTTCAGAAACTTGGACAGTTCAATATCACGGGTCCTAGCCCTGAATTGGATAAAAAATTATCTTGATGACAGGCAGCAATTTGTTGAATTAAACTTAGGCTAGATCAGCAGCACAACACATTTGGAAGCGTTAAATGATCCTTAAGGAAAACAGTGAAAGGAGTCCCACAAGGATCGATATTGGGTCCCTTGTACTTTTTGATTTAGGCTTTATAAACAGCCTACCAGAGTCACTCAATCATAAAAATTAGTTACAGCTCACCACATAATTAGAAGAATTAGAGCGACTGATGAAAATACTGCAATTCAGGGACACCACTCACTATTTTCTTCCTATCTGCGGTATGGAATTGTTGCCTGGGGATCCACTCAAGCAAAGAACATGGACCACATCCTGGTTCAACAAAAAGGACACTGAGAACAATACTGCACCTCAAACCCTCGGAGCACTGCAAATCTTTTTTTTAACCAGCATAAAATCCTCACTGTCTATTCCTTCAGTAACTTATCTATGATACCATAATCCTGGCCAGACAACAATACCCAAAGCTGCAACAAACACAACATTTGGTAATTCTGAGCAATTACTTGGTCAACCCCAATTTTTTTCATATTTTACTACGGTCATCAGGAGGTTCTCAGAAAGCAAGAAACATATAATTCAAGGCCCGCAAGGCCATCGTACAGGTTGCCGAGCGATAAGAAGGTTCAAAGTCCAAGCGATAACAGTGGCTTGCGGGAGACGCGCGGAAGGCCAGTTGTGACAGTACCGTTATGGCTATGGCTAGTGGTTCCTCCGACAATCCTCCCGGCGATTACTGAGGTAATTAATAACCTAACCTAACCTAACTTATTATGTTTTTTTAGTCTCAAATAATACATCTCTAAGGCCAATTGTAACAGTACCGTTACGTTAGGTTAGGTTAGGATAGGTTAGGTTAGGTTAATTAATAACCTAACTTAACCTAACCTAACTTAACCTTGCGGGGCTTGAATTATATGTTTCTTGCTTTCTGAGAACCTCCTGATGACCGTAGTAATATATGAAAAAAATTGGGGTTGACCAAGTAATTGCTCAGAATTACCCAACATTTACCTACCGCAGCATAGACTTAAAAATTCAAGAAAACCCTAACCTATTCAGGCTCCGTTTTCTTCAATCTATTGCCTCAAAACTTAAAAAATCTACCACCAAACCAACGAAAAACTCAAACAATACCTTACTGATAGGCCCTACTACATCTCAGACATTGTGTCTGACCACGCTTTCTCACGGCTCACCTCCTGAAGAAAGAAGACCCTGCTGCATATGAAAATTGACGATTCCCCGATCGGCTGATCGCGGAGAAGACGCCGGATGTAAGATGTTAATTGGTAGGTAGCATAAATTTGTAAGTCGGTTCAATGCAACCTAAACTTTAACTTACCTAATATAAAATAACACCAAAGGACTCGCTGCGATCATGAACCTACATAAAGCCCAACCTATTTTAACCACATGTCTTTTCTGTCATCATTGGATTTTTTTCCAGAAGTCACATTCACTGTAATATTTATTGTCAATAATCTTGTTTTGAAAGATGAACATGGTTTGTTAAGACATCTAATTTTAACTGCGAGTTGGTGTTGTGTGCAATTGCAATATTCTACGGACATAGCCTAAAAATTGGTAGAGGAGAGTAAAGAGGTTGTTATAGCTTCATTCTTACTAGGTCTATTACTTTTAGGTCACGGTTTCTAAAGCCACATAAACAGTGAATGAAAGTCTTAAATTATCCTATTAGTTTTTATCAAAGTAGGTCTTACACGAAAATACGAAATTAATTTTATGTTTATTTTCACCTACAACTAAATTGGTTCAACATTCAAAACAAATACCAAACAGCTGTTTTGAATTAAAAAAACAGCGCAATGTCATTCTCATTGTAACGTTTTCTGCTCTATCTTGGAGTAGATTGGTTTCGGTTTGAGTTGAGTAATAAGTTTGAGTTTGACATCACTGTCAGTGGACCCGCCACGAGAACGGTTTGTGCAAGGCTCACGGGACGGTCCGTGACGCACAATTCTATTGGTTGGTCGAGTTCCGACAAGGCTCAAGGGACGCTCCATGACGTAGCTCGGTGTCACGATTTCATGGCGTTCACACTTTCCAGTTCCATTCCTTCTCCTTGTCCATTTTAGTATTAGTGGTTTCATATCACAATGAACGAAGTCGAGTGCGGGATCACCATATGAGACCGGTAAAGGAGAAAGGAGTTATTGCGTTTAATTTAGACGAGTGACGTACGATATTTACTCTAAGCAAACTTAACAACAAGACAAATCCTTATGTATTCCTACCGACTAAAGGACTAAAAATTAATAACTAGCCTATTCATAACCAGATTTTATGTTTTTTGTTTCTAACCACCCATAGCCAAATATAATACAGTATAATCAACTCGTTGGTGTACGGTAAAAACTCATTACAGTACAGTAGTACGTAATGAAACCCCATTTGATTAAGCTGGCGGTAAACAGCTGTTTTCTGGACAAAATCCTTGCGTGGAAAGCTCGTTAAAACTGTATAGTGTGGGGTAGTTTTATTAACTTTTGGTTACTGAAGCCTTCCTTGGTGAAGGTTCTTTGAGAAACACGGAGGCGGATTGGGTGTCCAGGAACGTAATGGCTTACCCATAGCAAATGGCCCTGAATCTAAACTGGTCCATCTTCAGCCTGTGAGCCAGCCTTCCTCCTGCACTCTGGTCGGGAGACGCTTAATGGGGATGCTTGGACCTAAGCTTTATGGTAGCCACTGCTGTGAAATTGACAGCAGTGGGGGCCACTCGTAGTAAGGCCCAGTTCACACGAGCGACTTATCTAGCCGACTAGGCTGTGACTAAGTAAGCCCGACTGGGTAGTGGACCACAGGATCAAATGGAGCCGTTCACACGAGTGTAGGGCGACGACTAGCCAGCCACGTTCGAGCTTGGTGTCCCAAAATATAGTCGGGCCCTGCTTCCCAGTCACTCATGGCAGCTACCCAGTCACCTGATCTAGCGGCGTAGCAGTACATGTAGCCTTAATATGGGAGCGTTCACACGAGCGATCGGGTAGTCGCGCTGCAGCTCACATTCTTCCCTTTGTTCTCATTGTGCACCAGTGATGGATCTGAGTAGTTTTGGTATCGATATTTTCATCTAGTCCGTGGACATGTCGCTCGTGTGAACCGGTGTATCCTGTGGTCCGCTACCCAGTCGGGTTTACCTAATTACAACCTAGTCGGCTAGATAAGTTGCTCGTGTGAACCGGGCCTAAGTTGTCTTGCCACCTGAAAGCGGTAATCCAATGTTGTCGGAAACTGACTCAAGAGCCATAGGCATAAGGATGTGCTTGCAACTGTGTTGGGTGGGCATTCGGTGTCCAAAAAGGTTTATCCCGATTGGTGAAATGTAGGGTATGGTCTGGTGGACGATGATGGAGTCATTGGTAAACGACTCCCATGAACCGGGGTCAAAAACCCAAGACATGAATAATATTGTTTTTTTGTTTCAGGTTGCAGGCTGACTGTTGAGAAGTGTTCATTGCTAGAATTTGTTCTAGCAGAAGTTGATTAATTTATTAATTTTATAGTATCGAGAGAGCATCAAATACACAGAGAAGATTTCTGGAGGAGAAGGCAAGTAGTGAGGAGGCATGAAATGCAGATTTGGATAGGATTGCAGCGGAAAAGGAGTTCTTGGCACGATATCAGAATAAGCAGAGAAGAATGAGTAGCTGGGTTGTGGCATCAGAGCTGGCAGGAGGTTCAGCATCTAGCAGTATGGCACTAAAGAATCTGGGAAAGGTCCTAGAGAAGATGTGCGCCTGGTAAGCAACCTAACTTATCCGGAAGGAGTTGAAAAAAAGGAGAGCGCCGAAGTTCTCAGAACCCTCAAGAGGTTAGTGAAACCGCAGGAAATAGGATTAAAGATTAGAAGGATATTTAACATCTGGAATGGAGTAATCGTTGAAGCAGAGATTGAAGGAACAGAAAATCTGACAAAAGAGAAATCTCTGGCGAATGTGGGATTAAAAGTTGAGAAGCCGACGAAGAATAGAAAACGAGGTCAAAGAATAAGTCTTCAGTAGGAATATGCAAGGAAGTGAAATTGAGGGGAAACAGTTGAAACAGGGGTTTGAGGTGCGACATAAGTAAGGATAATAAATCAGCTGGGAAGAAAAAAAATATTGTAGTGGAGTGTTCTGTGAGAGTGCGAAATTGGGTAAGGAGGCAGGATCAGATGTTCGAAGAATGGCAGTGCTGTATAGTCAAACGCTACCACTGATGGTACATATTTTACAATTTAGCTACAAAGAGAGAGGGTAAGGCCATGATCAGCAATTTGTTGGATATTGAACTTACTGAATGCAAGAAAGAAGCAGCACAAAACAGCTTACATTCAGCAACCTACTGCTGTAACTTCTTATTTAATAATTGCTTGGTTGATTGAAAATCATTTACAAAGTGAATGTTTAAATTTATTATAAAATTAAATTCTTTACAAAAAAAATGATAAAAACAAATGTCCTACAATCACACCTACATTTATTCAAACTAGTTTCTGAACCAGCATTATCTGACTACGGAAACGGGGGTTTCCCATTTTTGACCCTAAAACATAACATTTTGAAATTATTTCTTTCTAAAACATTTTGTTTAGCTTAAAAAACAAATAATTTTGTATATTGAAACATTGTAATGTGCCTAATGATTAAGGAGAAAATTCCAAAAATCTGTAAATCCATGTTATTCTTATGGAGAAGAGTGAAGTTAACTCTTGTAGTTTACTTGTTTATAAACATAATTTGATCAAATTTGGAAATTTTTAAAATTTCACATTATACTATCAACATTTAACTATAAAAACACTTTATTACCGTCCCTGCTGTAGCAGCATACCTAAGCACTCGTTAAACTCAAATCAAATCAAATCAGTTTTATTTCCACAATATATACAAATTTACAATTTTTCAAAAAAATAAAATAAAAATATATATAGTCCTGAAGCATTATACAGTAATTGTTAACGTAAATTAATTCTAGTAAAATTAATTTATAAGTTATAAAAGTAAAAACTTAAATACTAGTTGAATGTTTGCTCCGGCTTGAATAATAACTAATTTAATATATAATGGAAATGAGTCTACATAGACCTCAGTGGTCTGTGCGTAGACTCGAGTTGTTAAAAATTATATATATATTTTTTGAGCTAATTTGCAATTGAAGAAAAAGTTTAAAATTAAATAAAAATGTACTAAGTGCTATGGGTACGTGTAAAGATAAAAATAAGTTTAAAGATTATATAAAAAATTGGAGTAAATATTAATTAAAATTTTTAATAACAGAATTGTTTAAAGGGGAAGCCAATAAATAAAAAGGAAAAGAATTTTGTTGGTTGCAAGAGTTTGCAGAGGGGGTCCGTAAATAACTATAGTTATTTAAATAGGGAACAAACAAATGTGACATTTTAAGGAGATATTTGAGTGAAAATCCAATCAGGCAAATGAAATTCGCTTAGTCTGCAGGTTTGCAGCGGCGGGGGTATTTTGTGATTGTGCCACGCAGGGTACAACTGCACAAAAGCAACATTGGCTTTCCTAATGCGTGTCTTCATGTCTTTTCAGTCCCACCCCTCTTGGACACAATACTTCCCAGGTATGTGAACGAGTCAACGTCTTCTTTCTATGATTTGACCTTCAATGTCCAAAATGGCTATCTGTTCTCTGCATTTATTCTCAAAAACTTTTGTTTTGTGGATATTCATCTTTAGTCCTGCAGCCTCTGCCTCATCTTTCAACGTATTTAATTTAAACTGCATATCTTTAAATCTTTGTGAGGCATCTGCATAGGGGTCTCAATCCCAGGATCCCAGTTAGTTTTTGATAACACAATTTAATGTAATTGATATATCTATGTATTTGTTATTATATAGAATTTTCACTTGATGTTAGCGACTCGGTCCTGGCACTCAAGCTTTGCTTCGCAGGGACCTAATTTCAGAGTATTTTATGTAAAAAACTATATGTAATTTTTCTTTTTCTGAATAAATAAAAATTGAAAAAGGAATTGAATAAAGAATAAGACAAGTTTTTTTAATAATCTTTTATTTACAAAACAAGTATAAAACTGCATTGTGTTATTCAAAATTATGTCAGTAAAAAATGTAAAAATACAAAGAAACCAAATTACTAAAATTGATTCCTTATAAACAATCAATTGTTGGTTTCATAGTAGACAAAGAAATCAAACCTCAATTAATAGAATGTAATTTAAACTAAAAGTTCAGGAACATACTTTAACTGACCACATCAATTAAATTAATTTCCTCTAGGAAAATACTAATCCAGTAATCAGTACAGAATAACAGTATGAGGTATATGAACAATTGTACCGTTCACACAAAAAGTCGTTGGGCCAAGCAAAATATTGAATAGCCTAAAATTTAAGTGCGATAACATTTAATTAATTATTATTAATAAGGATAATAAATAAATAAGTCACCGATTGAGTTTAAAGACATTTTTAGATTTGAAAATAAGATTTATGCTTTAACTTTATGGGTATTTGATCGTTTGTTGTGCAGTAGGGAAGTGTTTGGTTCCCACTGCAGCTCTAGTAGAGCGATATGGTACTGTGTTTGTGTATTTTGGTCAATATGCACAACTAATTCTTGTACCTCATTGAGTAGTTGACCGTTAAAGCTATGTGATTTGGGTGATTTAAATTAGCACAACTAGTCTTCTTAGTTCAATGGAATAACCATTTGTCATAAACACTACTTCAGGACCCATAATAGACACGTAAAAAGATGTTAAAAATTACTTTCTGGCCCAACACTTTTTCTTAATAAAAAAATAACCTAAACTCGGTATCGGTAAAAAAATCTAAGTCTACTCAAACACAAATAACTCTATAAACAAGTATTAGGACAAAACCTGAGGTATTTAAGGCACACTAACAATAACATGAACTGGAAATATATGTGGCTTACTTTACGGATATGTACATTGAAGTCACATTAAATTGAAATACATTACCATGAAGTGGTTTTAACATCTTAGCTCATATAGAACCGTTCAATAGTCAAACTGTTTCAGTCTTCTATCCTATTTTACAATGGTTTGTCAAATATTCATGATAACTAATGATTTTAACATGACACATATTTTACATTATTTATGTCAAAAGAATGGAATTTTACTTTTTTACTAAGCTATGAATGGTAAACTGAAAATCAATATTGAAGTAATCTGAATTACACCACTGCACAACTCAAGGTTACTCACATACTTGCAGTACCTTAGATTCTCCAGCCTTCATTGTTAGGAGCTCAAGTAAACAATTACCAGTTTAGTGCACTGCACTTATTCTTATTCATTTTAGTCAGTCACTTTTATGTGAAATAGTGTAACTGATAAAACTTAACAAAATATAAATAACACAATAACACTACTCTTAGTTCTCTTAAGTCTTTAGTTTGACTTAGTGTCACTGGCAAAACTCAACAATATATAATGACACAATGCTTCTCAAAAACTCTTAGTCTTCATTCTCTAAATCAAATCCTTGCATCATCTGTAAAGAAAAAAAAAATACAAAGATAAAATCAACTGAATACTCAATATGTTATACAGCATGAAAAGAAATGCCTGGGAATGATTTTGTATATTTGTTCCTTAGGTCAAAACATGATATAAACATATAAACACCATTTTCCAATATGGCCGACACATTAATATTTTTATGGAACACCCTGTATTTTATGATTGTTTTAGAATGTAAGTGTGTTTTTATGACGTTCTTATTCTAGATATTTTTTCTCTTTTAGTATTCGTTTTGGAGTTACAGGGTGTTACAATGTAAGAGAAAATTAGGTGAAGCACTGGTATTTTGACGTCTATAGCAAGATGAAGGCTTCTGGCCGTGACGAGCCCTAGGGGCCAGCACTAGACCCAACTAATAAAAAGTTATTGATATCAATACTATGTGTAGAAATATGCCTTCGCATTATGAGTATTCCTATAACTAAGACAATTGCCTTCAAAACAAGCTTTTAAAACTATCTCTATAGCCCTTGCCATCTTTTGAAAAATACTTAATTTACAACATTTTTTGGGCGAAGCAAAAGTTCTGGAAACCTACAAATAAATTTATAAAGTATGTTTGTAAAATGTTCTATTAAAGTTTGATCAAGTTCTTGTGAAAATTACCATTCATTTCCAAGTCATTAGATGGTTTTTGAAACCCTAAAAATAACCCTCTTTTAAATTCTGACAGACTGTCATATTAAGTTGTAAAAAGAGCTAAAAAACATTTATTTTTTTATAAATAACGTAGAATAAATTAAACCATGAAAATATCCTGTATATCTTGTCTGTTGCAAGATGGCCAACCATGCTTCAGTTGTTTCAAAAAGTTGGATAGGAAGGTGTGTGGTCTTATGTGATTGTTAGAACTATGAAGAGTAGCGGTACGCGTTTTAGAGAAATTTTTACTAGGCATGTATATATTATGGTATCTATATAAAATACACATTCTGGACTATTTCATCAAAAATATATTACAATGTTTGCGATACAATGTATATTAATTATATGATGTTATAATTTGTACCCATTGTTGCGCTGGTCAGGAACTAGTCCTGAGAAATGGATTCTCTCACAAAAATTAGAATATCTTAGTTGTTTAGTGAGCAAATTTTTACATTTAAAGAATTGTTGGATTAGTCATAACATTTCATAAAAAAATATATAGGCTAGGCCTATCCATAACAGTTTTTTTAATAGAATAACTTATCAGATCTTTAAGATCAAAGATAGATCTTAAGATACAACATTTTAACGGCTGTAATCCTGAATTGGTAAACATTAGAAACTGATACTTTGTGCTGATAATTGGTACTATTTGTCACCACTCTTGCAAAAGTTTATCACTTGGGCCTAGGTTTAACAAATATTAAAAATAAAATAACACAAACATACAAAAGTCTACTTAGAACCATTTCCAACTAACGATATATATTTCCTATCCCTTTTATTCACCCTACAATGCCAATTTACCTTGGGCCTATAGAATATTTGGAACATTTCCCATCGCGAAAAAAAACCAATGTTTTCATGGCGTATCATGAAATTAATTTATAAAAATGATTTAAAATTAAGGTAAACAGAGTAAATTACAACACTTTTTTAAAAAGAAAATTATCTAGCTTACCAGATGTGCCAGGTTCTTCAGAAATGGGTTGTTCTGCAGAAGCGGACTGTTCAGCTGAAGCGGGTTGTTCTGTAGAAGCAGATTGTTCAGCTGAAGCGGGTTGTTCTGCAGAAGTGGACTGTTCAGCGGAAGCGGGTTGTTCTGCAGAAGTGGACTGTTCAGCGGAAGCGGGTTGTTCTGCAGAAGTGGGTTGAGCGGATGAAGAAGACGAAGAACCTTCTCCGCTGGAGCATGCACCGTTGTTAGCAGAAGAAAAGAACTGGGTTATTGGCTTCTGCCAAGCCGGTGTCTCGCGAGGACAGTACGGGTTGCCTCCAGCATATTTGTTTTCTGCAAACAATAAATTTGTCATATTATAGGCAACATATAATGTAAATATTTTCCAAGAAAGCCAAGTGACTGATTCTAATTAGGAGAAAGCATGTTATGCATGAACTTTAAGGAACTTTTTTGCATGTTTTGTTTGTACGGTCTGGGGATGAAGCTGGTGTTGTACGGAATCTTTTGAGGTACTAAACAAGTGATCAGTTGCTTGAATGTAATCGAGTTAGTTTTTAACAAAAAAGATAGCAGATAGGTTGTGAGATTAACAGTGTATAGTCTTTACATTTATGAAACAATAAAAACAGATCCACCTCAACAGAACAATTTCAACAATTAGTATATAACATCATATTAAAAATTAACCTACCTCGGCATAATCTAGAATTCTACACTAAATTGACATCTTACATAGGGCTAAAATTTCTACAGTTTTTACCAGCTCACATCCGAAAAGGAACACAATATAATAGATTTAAGCAGCTCTTAAAAGACTTTTTATAAGAACTCTTTGCTACTCATAAGTATTAGTATAAGTATAAGTAACAGACTTCATAAGTATTAGTAAAAAACCTGTAAACTTAATTTAAATTCCAAATAATCCTTCAATCATAGTTTTGTTAGAAATAAAAATGAAGCAAACTTAGTAGGTACTCTTTTAATCAAAAAATGTAAAGGCTAGTTAAGAGTTACAGGCTTAGACCTAACAGCAATATGATATATTTACTTAGCTGTAAGCCATTTTTAATTTAGTTTATGACTCAAGTTCATGTAATGGTACACTATATTGAATAAAGAATGTTTTGACTTTGACATGCTCAATTATTACTTAGCTCTCTTTCACACCAGCACGAAGCTGTTTAGAATATTGAATCATCTGCATCTGTTATTGTTAAATATTGATTAAATAGTTTAGGTAAAACATGGGATTGCTTACATTTAGTACATTGTTGATTTTTCCCAAATACTTTTTTACTTGTGTAAAAATTGTTGTTATATTAGTAATTTTCCTGATTGTCAAAACAATTGAAAAAATGGCAATGAAATGTGAAAACTATCTATTTAGTGCAACAGATTAGGAGAATAGCTTGTACCAGATGGAAACTGACTGGAATGTTTGTGAATGGACTTTTGAACTGGACTCTATCTATAGCTGCGGACAAGCCTACTGAGGCTTTTGTAGCTTTGAATGAAATGTATTTTGTTTATAATGTTTTGTTGCATGAATAAATAAATAAATCTGGGAGCTTTCATACCAGTGTGGGTTTACCGGACAGACTTAAACCTGGGTTGAAAGATCACCTGGACGAACCTTTCAATGCGGGACCAGACCGGATGGCTAGATTTTAAGCATTGGCTCATAAGTATGCTATCGCACTTGGGCGGAACGGGCTGGTTTCAGTACAGCTTAAGGAAGTTTATAATATAATTGTACAATTACCTCGTCACAGCTCCGTAGTTTCCGTATATATTACGGCCGTTTCGGCATCAAAATGCCATCCTCAGATACATACACCTTTAGCATTAGATACAAAGAACATCGCCCTAACGGAAAAACTGACAAACAAAAATCCACTTTCGCACAACACCTGGTTGACAATAATCACGACTTACTTGATTTGGACAATGGCTTAGAAATTCTGCACGCCTTGGAAATAGGACACCCTTGAGGAATATGAGATTTATAAAGCCCATAAAATAAAATACAACAATGAATCCATACTAAATGACCAACTACAATTTAAATCTCACATTATTTTCAATAACATCATCAAACGAAGCAAGCCAAGGGATCAAAGTCCAAGAGATAATACTGCAACGGCTGGAACGAACTAGCAGTTGTCCATTCAGCTTCCGTACACGTACTCATCATGTGCGTGACAGGCCTGTCTTTAGTTTTTTATGTTTTAAATGTTTGTTATCGTGTTACGTGTGTGTATCAAGTTTGACGACGCCAAATCCGGTGGATGTATGTATCTGAGGATGGCATTTTGATGCCGAAACGGCCGTAATATATACGGAAACCACGGATCTGTGACGAGATAATTGTACAATTCTATTATAGTCTTCAATTCAGCTCAGGGGCTAAACCATGTCTATATTGATAAGGAAGCTTGTTGTTTTCGATATAGAGGAATCCATTTATATCGAGCACTTGATTAGTTTGTTTAAGCATTATATTTTTTTCTTATGACAGTGATGTAGGACAATATATCCGCTGCAGCAAACCATCTTCCATTTTCATGATTACATTTTTACAAAAGATTTGATAAAACAAGCCTTATTTATTTCATATAAAAACATTTGGTTTAACGACCAATTAAATGTTGTTCTATATGGAAGGTAATGAAGTTTTTTAGCTAAACCCTCATACAAATTATGCATACAATTTACATATATCAAAATTTTAACTACAGAATTAATTTTTTCTTCTCTGGAGCCATCAAAACAAAAAATGGTCCCAGATTTGGCATTTTTATTTTTACACACATGGCTTGGATACAAATAAACTTATTTAGCACGGGAGCACTGTAGGCTACTTTATTTTTGGATACAACAAGTATACATAACCACATTTCTTTTATTCATTTCAATCAAATACACCCAAAAGTCAGAAAGTTTCAGTTTGAAAACGCCCGGATCCCGGCAGCTAGTGTGAAAGGTACGGGACGGGCCCGCACTGCACCAGCTGTGAAAGAGTGCTTAGGGGTTAAGGAAGGCCATGGTCCATTCAGATATCATTCAAGTAATGATAGCGGACTACTACGACTGTGTTATCAATGTCCGGCCTGACAACTCCCAGCTTATCTGGTAAACAATTCTTACTGAGTTATAAAAGGAAAAAACTGTTTTGTGTTTTAATGCTTACTTACATTTATTTACTAAGTCAGCTGTGTATTGTTTTACACCATAGTTGTAAATTATTTTTCTCTTGATTATTTTTACAAAAAAACTCGGTTTTTATAGTTAGTTTTTGTTTTTATAGTCATAAATGAATGTGCGTTAGTATTCCGTTATGCTCAGTTACTTTCAGACTTGATTTGATGTGTAACGTGGTAACTATTTAGACTTTTGAAATTTCATAACCTGTACCGTTTGATTTGTTTACGTTTATCTATCATTTCTCTTTTGAAATGGCCGACGAAGGTGTGAATTACACCAACTCGCACCTCTCTGACCACAACTACTCCAATACCGAGGGTTCTCTTTCATATGAAATCATCGATGCTATGATTGATTCTCCTAGCAAGATAAACACGTCAGAAGACGATACAGACAACTGGCAAACGATTCCCAAACGCAGAAACGTTGGAGAAGTTTCTAATAGAAACAAAAAAAAGGCCAAACAAGACATGAACACGCCTATTGAAGTTAGCAACAGTTTTGAAGTATTAAATGTAGATAATGAAGACATGGACTCTAACATCCAAACAAATTTTTCTAAAAAATCATCAGAACCTAAGCCTCCACCTATTTTTATTCCTGATGTGGGTAATGTGAAGGCAATGATTCAAACATTTGAATCTGTCGTTGACACTACTGCTTTTGCCTACAAATGCATAAATAACAATTCAGTTAAGATTCTTCCAACATCTGCTGATATTTATAGAAAAATAGTGAGAAAACTTAACGAGAGTAATGTCAGCTTCCATACATTTCAGCTTAAACAAGATCGAGCATACAGAGTTGTATTGAAGAATATGCACTATTCAGTTGATACAGAAGAACTAAAAGAAGCACTACGACAGATGGGTCATGAGGTAAGAAATATTTCTAATGTACTTCATTCAACCACCAAACAGCCACTGTCAATGTTCTTTGTTGATTTAGAGCCGAGTTCAAATAACAAAGACGTCTTCAATATTCAGTATTTGTTACATGCTAAGATAACTTTTGAACCCCCTTATAGGAAAAGGGAAATTGTTCAATGTAAAAGATGTCAACAATATGGTCACACAAAAACCTACTGTAGGCATCCATTTAGATGTGTTAAATGTGGAAAAGAACACGATACAATCAAATGCACTAAAGACAATTCTACTCCTGCAATATGCGCCTTGTGCGGAGGAGCAAATTACAGGGGATGCATGGTCTTCAAAAATATCCAGAGTCGAACACATCCCCAGGCTCGAGGAAGAACTACCGTACCAAACCAAGCTGAAGTTGCTCAATCATCACATTCTGCCTCTTCTGACAATCTAACACGTCCTGACGTTTCGTATGCGGAGGCAGTTAGCAACTCACGAGTAAGTAACAAAACTAAACCCAGCACAAGTTCTGATAATGTGAATGCACGCACGCCAAGTAATGCTTCTAGTGATGCATCCACAGAAAAGTTAACAAATACAATAACTTCATTCTTTGATCGGTTTGAAAAACTGTTTATGCAACAATCTCAACAAATAGGTTCCTTACTTGACCTACTTACAACTGTTCTTAAAAAGCTCAATTAATGGTGAAAACCTTGAAGATAGCCTTGTGGAATGCTAACGGCTTGGCACAGCGATGCCAAGAATTAAAACTGTTTATTGCTAAACATAAGTTGGACATTATTCTTATTTCTGAAACTCACTTTACTGATTTAAACTTTTGTAAAATTCCAAATTTCAGTCTATACAACACTAACCATCCTAGCAATAGAGCTCATGGAGGTTGTGCTATCTTGATTAAAAGTCATATCAAGCACCATGAATTGCCAAAATATCAGTTCGATTTCATCCAAAGTTCATCTGTTGTAGTGGAGTTTGAGACAGGCCCACTTACTATAAGTTCTATTTACTGCCCACCTAGACACAACATTACACGCCAACAGTTTAATGATTTCTTCTGCACTTTAGGCTGTAAATTTTTGTCAGGAGGAGACTACAATGCCAAACATCCTACATGGGGCTCCCGTCTGGCAACTCCTAGGGGTCGACAACTATTGCAGTCAATCCAAGAACGGAACCTTGATACTCTATCGACAGGCGAACCGACATATTGGCCCTCTGATCGTCAAAAAATACCAGATCTTCTTGATTTTTTTGTTACAAAAGGTGTATCCCGAGATTTTGTGACAATCGAGCAATCTCTGGACCTTTCCTCAGACCACTCACCTGTAATTTTAACGATCGCTTCAAATGTTATATTCAAACCTATTCCACCACATTTATGCAACAAAAATACAGATTGGAATTATTTTCGTGAATTAATGGATCAAAATTTAAAGATTTCTGTGTGTTTGAAGAGCGAAGAAGATTTGAATCTTGCTGTTGAACATTTCAACAAAACAGTTCAAGACTCCGCTTGGAGAGCAACTCCAGACCAGAATAAACATAATTTAAAATCAGGAATACACTATCCAATTGAAATTAATAGGAAAATTGCCGAAAAACGCCGACTCCGTAGAATATGGCAAAACTCTAGAGACCAGACGGATAAAAGAAATCTAAACAGGGCCACTCAACAACTAAAAAGGTTACTGTTTAAATTAAACAATGACAGATTTCAAGATTTCACATCAAACCTTTCTCCATCTGAAGCTAGTGACTACTCCCTTTGGAAAGTTACAAAAAACTTAAAACGTTCACAAATTTGCATTCCACCTATTCTAAAAGAAGACGGTTCTTGGGCCAAAAACAACATCGAGAAAGCAGATGTATTTGCTTCATACTTCAAGGAAGTGTTCAAGCCATATAATATTAATTCAAATGTTGAGCAAGAAATTTTGGAATTCCTCGATTCTCCAAATCAACTTGATTTACCAATAAAATTGTTCACACCATCTGAAGTAGCTAAAGTGATAAAAGACGATTTAAATGGTAAAAAAGCCCCCGGTTATGATCTGATAACAGGTAAAGTGTTGAAAGAGCTTCCTAGAAAAGGAATAGTTTTCCTTACAGTACTTTTCAATGCAGTTTTACGCCTTGAATACTTCCCAATACAGTGGAAGGTTTCACAAATTGTTGTTATTCCGAAACCTGGTAAACCTTTAAATCAAGCATCCTCGTATCGGCCTATATCTCTTCTTCCTGTGGTTTCTAAAGTTTTTGAAAAACTTCTCTTAAAAAGACTCCAAATTATAATTGATGAAAAAGAATTGTTGCCTTCCCATCAGTTTGGGTTCCGCCGAAGGCATTCCACCATTGAGCAAGTGCATAGAATAGTGAATGTAATCAAGGAAGATCTTGAAAATAAACGTTTTTGTTCATCTGCTTTTTTGGACGTAGCCCAGGCGTTTGATAAAGTCTGGCACACAGGATTATTGTTCAAAATTAAAACTTTGCTGCCCCATACATACTATGGAGTGTTGAAATCGTATTTGTCCAAACGCTTTTTTCAAATTAAATATCAAGATATAGTTACAGATGTGCATGAAATTGAATCAGGTGTACCACAAGGCAGTGTTCTTGGACCTATTTTGTATATTTTGTTCACTTATGACCTTCCAAGTACTCAGGGTATTACGGTTGCAACATTTGCAGACGACACTGCTTTTTTATCATCAAATCAGGATCCTATTCTGGCATCATCAAACCTTCAGGCTGCATTAGACGATTTGTCTCAGTGGCTACAGAATTGGAAAATTAAAGTAAATGAAACAAAATCCGTTCAAGTTACATTTACTATGTCTACAAGAACTTGTCCCCCAGTAACATTGAATAATGTCATGCTTCCACAATCCAACGAAGTTAAGTACCTTGGTATGCATCTCGACAGACGGCTTACATGGCATTCACACATTTGGAACAAACGACTTCATTTAAATTTAAAAACAAACAAACTAAATTGGCTCATTGGTCGAAATTCAAAATTATCTGTTGAAAATAAATTACTTTTATACAAAATTATATTGAAACCTATTTGGACCTACGGTATCCAACTCTGGGGAACCACTTCCAACTCAAACATAGAAATAGTTCAAAGGTTTCAATCGAAAACATTGAGAAAAATTTTACAAGCACCTTGGTTTGTCACAAATAAAGTAATTCATCAAGATACAAAATTACCCTATGTTAAAGAAGAAATAAAGAAACGAAGTGAAAAATACCAAAGAAAATTAGAAACCCATCCAAATTTCCTGGCAGTCAACCTCCTCGACAATAGTGAAGCTACATATAGGCTCAAAAGAGTTAATCCAATGGACTTTCCAAATCGTTTTTAGTTAAACTTTTTAAAAGTTTTTTTATGTTAGTGCACTTGATGGAGTGTAACTAACCCATGTTAAGATGGTTATAAAATTTACTTATTATTCTATTACTGAATAGACTGTAAATAAATACTTGTTAAAAAAAAAAAAAAAAATTCTTACTTGTTTATGGATAGGTAGCCTATAAGTATATTGATCAAACTTGGCAAATTTATTCATCTTAAACTAAGCTATTATAAATAGCTTTCACTTAAAAACACACTTAATTAAACATCCAGAAGCAGCAAACCTACGGCAAGTTTAATGTTACCTATTTAAATAACTTAGATTTGTGAAAATAAAATCAGGCAAATGGAAATTCTCTTAGTCTGCAGGTTTACTGCACCGGGGGTATTTGTGACTTTTCGATCGCCAGTACTTAAGTAAAATGGAGATGTGTAGGTTATTATGTAAAAAATGCATGCACGACTTTAACAGAATAATTAATATAATTTCAAATCAATAGCACTTCATTTTTTAGTTTTTAGGGATTGCCTGTTTTAATTGACCTTTTGAGTTATTCAACTTAGGTCTGGTACGGTCGGTTAAGAGTGGGGTCCACTGGATAAGAGTTTTTGACAAGGTAATGGGAGAATGTTTGCCGATACTGTTTATTTACTTTTTTTAAACCAACAACACTCTTCAAATCTTAACAAGGGCGTGAAAAACAACTGTGTTACAAGTAAATGTAGGCCTAAGTAATGTTTCTATTGCTAAGGATAAGGCAGGTATAAACCCAATTTTATTGTTTCATGCAGTTTAGTACATAGGCCTAGGCCTAAGTTAATTGTTTACTGCAGCCAAAGTTAAACAGTACAGTAAGAAGTATGAATCTAGATCCATACCTAAAGTTTAAACTGTTCTTACAGTGCAAAAGAGTTCAATCCAAGTCAAAAAGATTTCTCACTACCGGTACTTTGAAATAGTTTATCTACAAAATAAAACATACTTGCAGAGTTTGTATCAGCAGAAGATGGGGTTACCGGGGCAGGGGGTGGGCCTTTACGGGAAGCTTTGGCTCCCGCAACTGGAAAAAAACATGCAACTCAATTAGTTTACAAGAATGAAAATTTCAATTTTTATATAAACATTAAAAGTCAAACATTTTGCACATTTTCAATATTTATAATCGGCCTAATTAAGGCATTGTACCCCACAATTTTCAGTCTTAGCCAAGACACCAGCAGTTCAACCAGAAGTTAGTTAGTTAAAGTTGCTTTTAAAAGTAAAACTGAAGGCCAGTCCGAATAGTAATCCCCCCATAGAATTGATGGGCCTATCCATAGATTCCTAAGTGCTACCTGTGGACACTGAAACGTCTGTCCAGTGTAGACAACCATACTCATAGTCTTTTGGTCCTCCACAAGCGTTCTAAAAACATATACAGGTGTCTACTAAATCTGGTTTGAAAAATTAAAATTTTCCAGTAGGCCTACAATTCAAGACAAATTCCTGAATTTTAAGAACTACTATCGGAATCCTACTTTAAGCTTTGTCACGCTATTTTATATTAACTCAAACTTTTAAAGGTTTTTAAAATATAAATCATTTGTATTACATGATGCATTTAACCATTGAGTATACACGTACTAGAGTAGCCACTCATTGAAGGTTATCGTTACCTGAACAGCGCTGTTGCAGGGTAGCGTCAGCGCCCGAACTACTCTACCTTGGACATGTCAATAAGGCAGTTAAAGTGTTCTTTATTATTGCTTCCATTTTAGGTTGTAGGATGTCACTTTTGTTGATGAAATTTGTTTGTTTGTTTGTTTCTAGTTTTATTGTTTTCTAATACATTTTTAATACTAAATGATTAAAAGGTCCTCAGAGCCGCACTGCCCTACCAACAGACTACCGCGACCCAAGCGTCAGCGGCCCGAACTACGACACCAAAATCGGTAACAACTAATAGCATTATCTGATGACTCTTATTTCATATAACTTTATTCATTTAAGTACAATACATAGATACAGGAATGGCGTCAAGAGAAATTTAATAAAACTAACTAACTAAAATACTCGTCATTATCATGCATGGCATAACAACATACCATCAATATTAATAGCTTTTCAGATCAAATAAATTAAAACAAGCCGTGCAATATGAAAGTTTATACATGAAAATATCAAAATTAAAAATATAGATAAAATTATTTTAAAACCAAAAGTTTCAATTGATATGAAACAGAGCAATTAATAACTTATAGAACTAAAACTCTTCAAAGGAGTACATAGCCTTGTTGATAAGAAACTTTTTCAATTTTAATTTAAATTTATTTTTGGAAGTTTCTAATTTAATTTCTTTAGGAAGTTTATTATAAAATTTGGAACCGGCATATTTAGGTGTCTTCGTAAAAAGTTGCAGAGTATGTGAGCTTGTGGCCAGGTTTTCTGGATTTCTAGTGAAGTAATTGTGATAGTCTCCAATAAGTTGTAATTCATTAAATCTGTCTTTTACTGATAATACTGTTTCATAGACATACATTCCATAAACATTCATAATATTGTCAGTTTTAAAATATTCTTTGACTGAAGTTCTGCGTTTTAAATTGCACAAAATTCTAATAGCTTTCTTTTGCTTTTTTAGAATTGATTTTAATTTTTTCTTTTTTGCTGCACCATAAAGTGAAACTCCAAATGATATGATTGAATGTATGTACAAAAAATATATAATTTTTAAAGTTTCCTTTTCACATAGGGGTTTTAATCTTGTTAGTGCATAAAGGCCAGATGAAATTTTAGAAAGTAACTTATCAATATGATGATTCCACTTCAAATTTTCATCAATTTCTAATCCCATGAATTTGATGTGGTCTTACGTGATGCGGTGATTATACGTGTATACACAATGATTTAACTAATGTTAGAAATTGTGTTAGCGTATTTATTTTTCCAATAACTGGTAAGTTAAGCACTATAACATTAATAACAGTAAGGCGATTCCAGTTATCGTCTTCCGTGATCGCGGCAACAACGGTGAGCATTTTTTCGGTTTCAGCAATTCCGATAATTGTTTCCCGCGATCGCGACAATACCCGTGAACATAGTTTGCGGTTTTGGCGACACCGATAATCGTTTCTCGCGATCGCGGCTATACCTGTGAACATATTTTTTGGTTTCGGCAACACTGATAATCGCTTCCCGCAATCTCGGCAATACCCGTGAACATATTTTGCGGTTTCGGCCACACCGATAATCGTTTCTCGTGCTCGTGAGAACAGCAGCGGTAGTCTTTCAGTTAACTCACGAGTCCGATGACCGGGTTCCGGATTCCTGGAGGTTTTGGTTAATTCCTGGAGTTTTCCAGGATTTTTCAAGGTGTGATGAAATTCCCGAAGCTTTTCTCCAATTTCTGCCCAATGAACCTAATGATACATGGTCACGTATAATAGCCTATACAGTTTTACCTTTAACACCAGCCGCATCCCTTGTTCTGACCATGTTTGGTATCTGAAACATTAATCACAAAGATAAGTTATGCTACTTTATTAGGACCCCCAAACAAACCAAAACTTAATAGTAAATTTACTTTTTTTCTTATTCATAAGCCAACTCAGTTGGTAATTGTTAAGCCCAGGCGCATATTGAGCTGTGCGGCACCGAACACCACGGCATTGGGCGGTCCGGGCGGTGAAGCAGAGCACAGGGCAGCATTATTGGGTAAAAAGTCAGCCTCGCACAGTAACATCGCAGATTGGAAGCAGTGTCCGTACAGTTCTTGTATCTGAGTGATACAGTTTCTAGTGTGAGCTTGTTGTTAAATATTAGAATTTGAGTTCTGAGTCAGATTCAGATGCTGATCTAGATTAATTGTTACTGCTTCACCAGAGAAAAAGAAAGAAAAAGCGGAAATATCTGCGCAATGTTTAGTTCTTTTTGTATTTCTCCCAGATTTAATTCCTGTAATTACTCTTTATATATTTGTTTACTATGACTGGTAATGAACAAAACTAGATAAAAACGTACCATTTCTTTTAACTTCTCTAAATACCTTAGTTATTCCAGATCTAAAATGTTAGCTTTTAATTTTTTTTTATATAAATTTGCTTTTACAATTTATTTGTTGTTGCTTTGTTGGAAAAATTTGAATACTTGCTACTGTGGTCACTGTCATAGCCTAATTGAATCTTTCAACTGTTATGTTTTACTTCACAATCTGAAAAAAATTAGTTTTGGTCATAACTCCTAGACAAAATTGGCTATTTTGCCCAGATTTCCTGACTGAAAAACCTGGGTTTCCTGGTCTTGATTCTTAGACCACAAGTGTGACTTATATATACCTAGAGGTCTACGGGTCCGGAAGCTCCATATCTTCGGGTCTGGTCGGATCAACGGTTGGCACGAGAGATCCGTAAGGGCAGATTGATGGGCCATGCTTGGGTAAAAAAATTCAATATGTGATAAGTTAAATTGAGTTTTTATGAAACCGAGGTCACACCAACGCCATTCAAGGTGATATATCTCAATTGTAAGGAAGGGAGCGTACAAATACGATGTTATTTCTAGTTCATAACAATATAGGCCTAGCTAATTAAAGTGTTTTAACGGAAAAAAATTAGATAATGCTAAAGAGGTAGGCCAGCAATAGAACACCTTATTATGTTAACATTCTTACATATTTCAACTAGGCCTAACTAGCAATACGAGGGTATAATTATAACTTAGGTACTCTTAGTTCTAGAATAGGCCTAAGCTATAGGCCTAGGCCTATGTGTTTACTTAGTTTACAACTGCATCGAAACAGTCATTAATTTCCATTCAGCAATAAATGCAGTTTTAAAGCTTACATAGGGATTTTAGACACTTTCCATACCGGTACTCGACAGTTGGCGGGAACTACTAAACGCCATTTGGGCCGTGTTCCGGAGAAAAAAAAGTTATTGCCACTTGATATTTTGGAGGTTATGTCATCTGCATTATGACACCATTATTGTTAAGTTTTACTGTGCCGTATCTTTGTCAGAGGGGCGGTAGGAGAAGTAGGAGGGGTTATTGCTGGTCTATTGCCAGTTTCACGCCTATCATGTAGGCCTAACTTAAGGCTATTTATACCCCACTACCAGTTCCGATACTTTTCAACATAGCTACTTTAACACTTAATACTCAGGAATAGGCCCATATATAGTCACAATGAGTAGACCTAGCCTTAGTAACTTAAGCTAGGCCTACAGTGAGCCTATCATTCTAGCCTAGAACTCAGAATTGAAGACTTTCAACCTGCCATGAGTCATGTCAAATTGGACCACAAGCAGCCCACGTTAACCAGCATCAAACAATGATATGATCAGGCCTAGGTCATTAACCATTCATTGAAACAGTAGGCCTACAGCCTAGGCCTAAGGGCTTAGGACTTAACTGGAAGAAACATTGTAAGTTAGGCCTACGGAGAGTTACTCGGGACTGACATCAAATTAGGCCTTAGCCTACATCAAGAGAGAGAAAGCCAGATTGAAAAAATGACAGGATCTAAATAAGAGTACCTTTAAGCCAAAGTAACTTGGTAACAACGTGCTCTGGTGTAATTATAGAGCCAAGATTGGAGGAAGCAATTTCATAAAGTAGACATTAATAAAAAGAGAACGAGAACACTAATCATTACCTTAAGGATCTGTCCTGAAGCAACTGAACAACAGAAAAACGAAGTCTGTATCTGTACTGTAGAACGATGCCAATACTTCTAGTCCAGTTTCTTTCTCTCTATTCTAATAGAAGAGGAAGAGAAGTCGAAGTCAAGTGGGGAGTGGGCTAGTTAGTTTAGTTAGTTAGTTACAGCGATAGCGATATTCAAAAGTGCGGGAAGGGCAACCAAAATAGTACATGGAGTAACAAAGCAAGGACTGCAAACGCAAACTGCAATAAGAGTAAATCTTAAATATATCCATAGGCGTACAAAATTAATTGTTAAAATGTCAATTTTAGGTCTTTTCCTCCAAAGTTATGAACATTAAATGCACGGCAACCTGTAACTATCTACAGGCACAGAAAACGTAAAACTACAACCATAGACTTCTCATCCCATTGTAAATTTTGAAGCACGTTTTTCGTGTCTAGTTCATGTACGTGACACATGGGCGCTAGTGTCGACGAAACTTTGTTTATATTATTTTAGGGTTAATTTATTGATTTGTGCTTTACTGTTTGGTTATATAACTAGGGGACAAGTTATTGTTTATGATTAGATCGTATTATTTGGTTAAACAAGGTTTTTAAATGGCTGTAATAACGGGAAACAAATTGTAAACAAAACACGACCTGTACATAAACCGTACAGAACTAACAATAAAATTGTCTTCAGCTGTTCCATAAGGATGAGAAATCTACTAAGGGAGTATGTTTTATCTATGCTATAACGTTATATATAACTATAGAGTTATATAATATATTTTTTATATAATATATATTAATATTTTTATATAACATATAGTTAACTATAGAGTTCGGGACCTGCACTTCCACAACGTAGAGCACATTGTATCACAACAGCCACTACAGTACGCTGAGAACCGAGCTCACCACTGTCGACTAACACATAATAAACAAAGATTCTAATTTTGTTGCGAAGACAACATTTGTCATAGCTTTAACTTGTCAAAAACACAATTTAAATTGCAAACTATTTTGTTTTGAGGGTCAAAAATATTTTGAAAATCAAATCACCTGTCAGAAGTACTGTTTATATTTATTTATTTAATACGGAAACATTATTTACATATGTAACTGTAAAACTGTTGAATTAATGTTATTGGAATTTTCTTAAAACGCTTTAAACAACCAAATTAAGACCCAATGATGAGGTCATTGGGGTTATTTAAGGTCCAATGACCTTTATGTGCTGAACTTTGTACCTCTGGCTCGTCTTTGGGATGTTAACTTTGCTTTGTATTGTATTTGTATTTTATAATAAGTTCCAAAAGGGTCTTATGGCATGTTAACTATTGCTATTACAGTGCCAAACATTTTTATAATTTACTATTTTTTTAATGGATACAACAAAATGCATAACATACACAAAAATCGTAGGCCCCCTAACTGTTGCTTACATAAATAAAGTCAATTAATTACAATTGCAAGACTTCTCCCAGAGTTATGTATACTAATAAATGATATTCCCCGAGCAAAGATTATTTTATAAGATGTTAGCGAAATTAGTTTTTCTAATTTTTGACCCTCTAAACGCAAAATTTCCCAATTTCTCTTCAGACCTTCATATAGAGTAAAAAAAAAACAAATAATTTAGTATATCAAAGTGTTTTTGTACTATTATTAGTCTCGGATAAATTTCAATTAATGGTTATTTTAAAATTCGCATGTTATTCTTATGGGCAACATTGTAAAATGTTGTAGTCTGCTTGTTTATGGATATATTTTGATCAAACTTGGTAAATTTATTTATTTTATACTAAGTTATTAATATTTCACTAAAAACACACTTTTTTACCCTCTCTGTAGCAGCAAGCCTGTGTATTCATAAAAATTAATGTCAATTTAATACATTTAATTGAAAATCGATTCAGGCAACTGGAAATTCGCTTAGTCGGCAGGTTTGCTGGGGCGGGGGTATTGTTTAGTAACATTGCACAAATACTAGTTCCAGAGCATACTAATATATTTATTTACTCTTATTCTTCCAACGATACATGCCAGTTTACAAAAATTGTTTACCAGTAAATAGAAAAAAGACAATAATAATTGAAGTTTAACATAACAACAATAACAAACAATAAGTAACAACGACAATAAATGGCACTAATAACGTTTAACAGATAACAACAAATCAAGAGGAACAGAGAGAATGTTTTAGGAACTACTACTACTGATAGAACTGGTTGGAGGATCTTCTATTACATGGTTACTTTTAGCGGTGTTAAACCGACCGTTATTTGACCTATGTGATTTCAGTAGTTTTAAGTGAAAATAAAATCAGACAAACGTAAATTCACTTAGTCTGCAGGTTTGCTGTGATGGGTGGTTTTAAGAGTTAAACGTGCATTATTTATGAAGATTTTGTTAATAAATTGTAGTTTATTTGATTGTTAGGGAATTTGTATCACCTTTGTTGCACCTATGATGAAATGTAGTAATCTAGATTACGAACCATTTAATTGCGCCGGCAACAAGCCCGGGACCGACCCAATTTGTCATCAACTTGTGAAACTTTGACCTTTGATTTAATGTTAACTTACTATAAGAGTACTTACTGCAATCATTGGCTATATCAAATTAAATCCAACATTAAAACACGTTCATGTAGCATACTTAAAGGATATTTAGCCATATTATTTATTTAATCATTTCGTTATAGGGAAATTCCCTGAAAAACTGGTTATAATAATTGTTGTTTTAAAAGAACAATAACTTTTAAATCATCATCAATGGGAGTTCACTTTAAGATGTTTATTTATTTTACCTATTATTTGGTTGCCTATGACATACACTAAACGTAGCCAGGATTAATGCTTTGTATTTGGAAAATAGTTGGGGGAAATAGGTAACTTTAGGGGCAAGGAGGGAATTTCGAGGCTGGAATAGTAAATTATACGAATAAATGCTAAATACAGTGCTGATCCGGTGTAAACTTTTTGCTCGAAAATTTTATGTTTATTAACTAAACAAAATGCAATGTTGATTGTAAAATTAATAAATAGGCCACTCAAATAACTTAAAGCTTATAACAACAATCTTGTACGATTAGGATTTAAAATTTTATTTTGAAATGGTTAACCATTTCAACATACCATGATGTGCTTCAAACAGATCATGAATCGTTGAAAGAAAGAAACAAACAAACCTAAGTAATTTATTAGATCTAAAGAATTTGTGGTTTTAAATAGTTAACATAAGATTAGTAAAAAATAACAATTTCTATACCTAGTATTAAGAATATAACAGGCGTACATGCATTTACCTCATAATAGTCACATTCACATAACAAAGAAATAGCGTTAAAATAAAAGTGTTAATAATCGTCCATTAAGACTTTCAACCTGTAAATTAATCTAAAATAACGGGATCATTTGAACACAAGTAACGAATGTCAATGTAATACTGTAGTTGGAGGATTAGGTGACGGACGAAAATACGAGAATGATGTAATTAATAAGGTACATCGAGGATTAATAAGTTTACTGGCCACTCCTCGACCCCTGGTGAGGGGGCGAGTAACAGCCTTCACACAAATATCTTAGCCCGATAAAGAGCAGTGCTTTTGGCTGTGCTGAATTTTGAGTCAAATCCAAGTCTGAATGACTGTGGCGACTTGCATCAAGCACCTAGCGCTTATTAGCACCACTTCTCTCGAAGTTCCTGCTCACTAGGAGCACATACTTCTCAGCTATTGCTGAGTGATAGTGTTGCAGAAGAGATGGAGCATTTGTGTGTTAGATACTTGAGTTTCACTGCGGGAACCAAAAGACACAAAGGCGTCTTAGTCGACTAACACGACTTTAAATCGAAAAGCGTACATGATGTTGAATAAACAGCTTGTTATTGAATTAGTTAACCGCTCCTGTTTGCGTTTAACTATTAAAATGATTAATTAAATAAATAAAACATAACACAGTGGATTGAGATGTGTTTGGCTGAGATCTAGCGGTGAAGAGGCGAACTGTACGAGAAGTACGACAGCTACATCTAGCGGTGATTAGGTGAACTGTTGCGGACCTCCACAGCTAGTTCGCCTCTTCACCGTTAGATAGCTCCAACTACTCAATAATCTCAATCCACTGTGTTTTATTGATAATAACTTAAATTGTTCAATGAAAAACAGGCAAACTTAATTAATACAAAAAACAAACGGTTTATTCAAATTCATGTAGGATTTTTTTGATTTTAAAGTCTTGTTAGTCGACAAAGAAGCCACTGATAGTATCCTACTGGCTTCAGTAGTATCAAAGAAATGATCTACGATAATATAAACGATAAATGAAATGCTGAATACAGTGATCGAACACTTAACGGTTATCGACTAAACACATGTGATGGTAAAATTAATAATTATGTCATTCAAACAAGTTCGAGTTTATATCAACAATCTTGTACGATTAAGATTAAAAATGTGAATTAATTGATGTTTAACCTGATTCGTATTGTGGTGTGCTTCCAAGCAACTTATTGGAGGTTAATTTAGAACACAGGCACAGGAAGATCACTTGTAAGTATTCTAAATACTGTAAGTCATCCTTATCGATTATACTAACTGTGTTACAGCACTTGATGGCCTTAGATCCGGGTACAGACATCACAAGCCGCTTCTCACCAGGGCATTTCACGGTCAACATTGCACTGTAGTCTACGACAATGCTCTGTATCATCACTTACAGACTTGACACTGCTGCAAACGATTGAAAGTTTACCCAAGAGGGCGAAATGTTTACTAGACTGAATTTTAAAACTCGTTTTATGTCACTGTACATTTAAAAACAAACGGTTAATTCGTATGCTTCTATAACTATGTCTTTTATCGTTTTAAGGATGGTTTTCGCTGCCACTGATTAATTGATGTCAGTTTTGATATCGAAAATCGATCGTGAAGATTCGATACCGGTACAACCAGACACGTCTGAGAAGATCACGTGATAGAAAATTCACGCTTTCATCGCGATCACGGATCACGAATAGCGACAATAAAGTTTCCGTGATCGCGGGAGACGATGATGATTTGTCCGGTTTAAAATTGAACTTGAGCGTTTTTGAACACATATTGTGTACGTTCA